GATCTGACTGGCAGCAAGGGCGCCGCACAGTTTCACACTGGCCTTTGTCATTGGTGCCATTGTCTTCCACTGAGCTGGGGGATTTTGCTTCAGAGCTTTCACTGTTCCCTTCCGGGCTGCAGTTGCTCCTTCCACCTCGTGAACATTGACAAGGCCCAAAGAGGGCAGTGCCTCCTGCACCTCCGACCCGGTCTTGGGATGTTTCGTGAGGTAGTTGGAAGGATTCATATAGTGCCCTTGACTTTGCGGAGCTGAAGTCGCCCTGTCTGCACTGCCCCTTGTACGTAAAACTCGCACACGTCGAGGTGCCTGAGCTTGCTCCCAGGCCCAATCCTCTTGGCGGCAGTGATTCCGGTGCTCGAGTCACTCCACAAAAGTGGCACTTCGACGGGTAGCTGAAAATCGTCAGACGCCAAGCCTTTCAGAAAGATAGCTTCTCTAGCGGCGCGACTGATACCCCGCAGCTCTGCATCCGGTGAGGACGTGGCTGGAAGACCAGGCTGCGTTTGCGTGGAGGCGGTAATCACCGCACCCCCAAGATAACCCACATGGGCATCTGTGGATCGTCTGGTCTCTGGACATCCTGCCCAGTCACTGTCGCTGTACAACTCAAGGGCGAGGTGCTGATGGGCATCGCCGTCAAGCACGGTTGCTCGCACCAGATCTGGGTGGCTATTAAGATACCTACCCATGACCAAAGCATTTTCCCAATCGCACAGCCGCGGTTGCGCCATATGGCGAGCCAGCTCTTTGACTGCGTAGGCAATATCTCTTCTATCTGCCGAGAGATATATACCACTGCCCACAGCCGATCTGTACCGTTTGGCAAATTCATCGGCCAGTGGTTCGTTCTCATCCAAGTTGAGCTTAAGCGATGGGACCGCCGATTTCTCCTTTGGCTGAATGTCCAGTGCGGTCAAGATGTTCTTTGCGTGCTTTGGATCTGGCGCGGTGAGGATCGCGCCCTCCAACCGGGTTTTCACACGTCCCAGCACTTCCACTGCTACCCCTTCGGCTTCAAGAGGTTTTCACAGTGCTTGGGCAGCTCCACGTCAATGAGTCGGTTCAAGGCGCTAGCCGGGCCTGAGCACCGAACATCATCAACGTGGTGGACCAAGGTCACTTTGCTGCTGCTGCAGTGGTATGTGCATGGATCGTGCTTGCCCCGAACAAAACAAAAGGTCGGCTTCATCTTCTCAACCAAGATCTCTTCGAGCTCGTCCCTGTACACTGAACCCGCCGTGCGACGACCATACAGGTTGCCGTCAAGGCGGAACATATAGGCCGGGAAGCTTTTTAATCTTCGAGCTACTTCGTGAGGCGGAAAGGTATCCCGCACCCATTCCTCAAATATTGGCCTCCATTCTTCTGGGGCTCGCATGTAGCAAGGATTGCCTTCTTGGGCGCCTCGGTCTCGACCAATGAGAAATGCGGCCACGATGTCAAAGGTCCTCGTAGCATGACTGTGGAACAGCGCCGACACTTCCAGGAGGCTATGTGACTCCGGCGTTGGCGTTGGAACAAACACACGCAACTGCTCTTCCTCGGCCTCGGAGTAGTTCCGCTTCACATCTGCACAAGTGAAGCGGCTCTTATAGACGCCCTCCTTGCATTTGTCGACCCACTTGAAATGGAAAATCTGGCTTCCGGGCGGCACATCCCTTTTATGGACAGGCTCAAAAGCTGAGCGTTGCCATAGCTTCCTGAGTTGCGCGAGCCGTGCCTCAGCCACTTGCATCGGATCCGAAATTGAATCCAACCAAGTGCAAACACTGGCCAACCTCTGCAAGGCATGGGGGTTTTGGCTTTCCTCGGCGTTGGCCCATGCCTCGATGGCCTGCCATGTCTCCTCAACTGCAATTTGGCCGACTCTAGGCTTCTTGGCGGGCGTTGCTTTAGCTTGCTTCGGCGGGCGAGCTTCCTCGGCGTCCGCTCCTGCCGCTGGACTCCTTTTTGGAGACAGCACGTCGCTGCCGCCAAGGCCGGTTGGCATCGCAGGGGTAGTTGGTAAGGCTGCCATGGCCGAGCTCCAACCAGGCCCTCGAACTGCCACAGGAGACGCTTCTTCCGCGTCTACCGCATCGTTGGCGGGAGGCATGTCATCCATGGGCTCTGGCTCATACAAAGGCGGCTCTTCAGGCAGGTCTTCAGCGAGCGCAACCCCTTCCACCTCCAAGGCATCAAGATCCACCCTGGATTTCGGACCGTCGGCCGCTAAAGCAGGGGGCGGCCCTGGGATCCGCGCTTCCTCTTCTGTATATGCGGCCGGCGCTGCAGGCATGGGCAATACCACAACCTGAGAAGTCTGTGGTGGTGAAGTCTGCACTCTGCGTCCCCACCTTGGCTGCCAAGGTAGGCCGGTCACCTGCTTCAAGACGGATGCTTGTGTCTGGACGGCAGGCGGCAACCGGCGGACAGACCGCACAGTTAGCGCGCCTGCCTCAGACAGGATGATGTGAGTGTCATCGCGCTCGAGACGACCAACCCACACGCCCTTGATCCATCGTCTCTGGGTTTTGGTACCAGGGAGTGGGAGCCGTGCCATCACGGTTTCCCCGAACTGGCAGATGGGCGAGCAATAATCCACGCCGTTGACAATGCGGTACGGCGTGGCTCGGTCTCGAGTGCGTATTTGGTACCTTGCTGTCAGCCATGCTGCGTGTCGAACAAGCCATGGGAACACCACATGATTGATATCGACTAGGTTGGCCGGGTACCGCTTCTGGAGGTCCATCAGTATAGTACGGACAAGCCCGGCAAGGAAGGAGTGCTCCCCCTCCACTGCTCCTTGGCTCTGATGCGAGTATGGCGGGGCTTCCCGCACATGGACCTTGTGAGCGCCCATTCGCGCTTGGATGGCCCGCGCGACAGTCCGGATGGAGTTCTCCTGATCAACCTGGATGGTGACACGCTGGTGCCCCAAAGTGTTGAGGTAGAGTTCGACCGCATTGAGGACATATGCACCGTGTTCTGCCCCTTTGCGCGGCACCTGGATGCTTAGAGGCCATCCAGTGGCCTTGTCCACCAGGGTCAGAACTGTGACCAACACGGATTCATCCTCCACTGGGCTCTGGTGCGCGTTCCGCTGAAAGAACGTGTAGTCCACTTGCACAATGGTTTCGAGCGCACCGTCTCCTACATCTTCCATCCTCCGATGGTGTCCATGGCGGCCAGCGCCGCACACGCAAGCCTCACACCAAGGGGCGAAAGGCAGGTGGGTCAGCTCATGCCGCGCCACCTCTTCCGCGGTCGGATCTTTGGGATGAGAGAGCGTCGCGGGTTCAGGATCCACAGGATCCGCCTCTGCTTCAAGGTCGTGAGCGTCTTTCATGGCCTTTTCAGCCTCAGCCTCTCGCCGCGCATATTCGATCACGGCTTCGGCATCGGGGTCATCTACCACAGCAACTTTGGCAGCCATAGTTGCCGGCTGGAGCTGCTGATATGGCATGACGAATTGATTCCCCTCTCGGAAGAAATCAGCCTTTGTGCCATCACTCCACTCAATGTGGCACTTGGGTCCGAAAACCACTGACGCTCCAGCGTCCACCGCGCGGGTGACAGAGAGGATGTCATCGCTAATGCCATCCACCACCTGAAAGGTTACTGTGGCATCCTGCTGCGCCTCATGTCCGAGGCGAAGCTGCGAGGTCAGGCTGCCCTGCGTCCTCAGTGGCGTGTCGTCTACTGAATAAAGGGATTTCTTTGCCTTGCGATCCAAGCGGCCAGTGAACATACCCGGGCGGCAAACGGAGACGCACGCCCCAGTGTCAACCAAGAGAGATCCCATGCTTGGGCTGGATTTCCCCGCGCCAAGCTTCAGGATATGGCCATGACCCGTTCCATCAGAGACATGGCGGACATTCTGCCGCTGTGTGCCCAAGGAAGCCGCAGTGGAAGCCTGCGACCCGGCCGGGACACCCATCTGGGAAACAGGGACATGGGTGGAGGCATCATCAAGCGCGTTGACAGCTCCTCCCTTGGGTTTCTGACCCTGAGCCTGGTTCTTCCCTTTGGCGCCCTGGCCTTTGGCATTGTACCAACACTGTTCGACCGTATGGCCTTGTCGCCAGCAGATCGGGCACCTGTCCTTCTCATCCTTTTCCTTTTTCTTGTCCTTGCCCTTTCCTGCGTCTTTCCCTTTGGGGTTCTTTCCACCTTTTCCTTTTCCAGGTCCACCTTTGTTGGCATCCTTTCCTTTATTGCCCTTATCTCCTACTTTTCCGATGTCCATTGCATCGGGGTCTCGCTCAGACCGTTTTGGCGGGCCGGCGTAAGAGCCAGTGGGGGTCCACACCCGCTTGGCCTGTAAGTAAGAGACTACCACGGCACGCACCTGCTGATAGGTCGTGAGCGTTGCGGCGTGGATAGCCAGGTGCTGCCGGAGGGCAGCGGGGGATTCTGTAAGGGCCCGCTGATCCTCCTCAGAGATCCCTTTTTCCGCTCCATATTCGGCGGCATATCGATGCACATCGTTTTCCCATTCCTGGAGCGCAGAACTAAACTCTGCCTCCTTTGTTGGGAACTTAGGGGCCAGCAAGGCACGGCGCCATACCAACCCCTTCGTCGCCTGTTCAGGGTGAAACTCACGCCACAAAAGGCGCCACAGCTCAAACCCATCCTGATGCGTGACACTCCTGGCGAGTTTTACCGCGCAGGGAGAGTCCTGCAACCAGGACGTGAGCATGCCGAAGAGTTTGATAGATAGAGCACGGTGTTCCGCTGACTCCACCTCTGAAGCTGCGGATTCAGATGCTTTCTTAGCTTCTTCGAGGTATTTGGGGTAGAGTGGGTCTATGAGAGCCAAATATGTTTCCACCTGAAACACAAAACGTTCCCAGTCCGGCGCTCCTTTTTCACTCAAGTTCCGCGGCGGCTTGATTGCTTGCTTCACCAAGTCATTGCCTTTTAGCATAACTGGTGTGTCTGATGATGGGGCGGCTTGCGCCGCACTCCTCTGTTGTTGCAATTCTGTCCGCAGACTTGCCACCGTGGCATCAAGCTCAGCTTGACGCGCTTGAGCTGCGCGCAGAGCTGTAACGAGATGCTGCTGCGTCGCGTCGCTCCTTTGAAGCGCGGCCCTCAGTTCGGCCACTTCCTGTATAACCTGTTGTTGCTGCTGCTGATCCGCCATGAGGGCTGAGACTCTCCTGGATGGCTTGGATCAGTTCCTCAGCCTGCTCAAACAACTGATAAATGGATGGGGTATCCTCCTCCACCTCACTTGCCTCTGACACGGCTGGCTCACCGACCTGTTGGGTGGCGGTCGCAGTGCTCAGGGCGGTGCTGCCCGCTCCTGGGGCAGCTTTGGGCACACCCTCGACAGCAGACGGCTGCTGTTCCAAGGGTAGCTCGGTTTCAGGGGAGTGCTTGGTTTCACTCTCCTCTTGTTTGGTCACCGGGGCGGGGCACTGTCCGCGCTCCTCGTTGACCTTGGCCGGAAGTGTCTCCGGCTGTTCCACGGCCGGCTCGGCCGCGACTGGTTCCGGTGAGTGCACCGGACACGGCTCAGTCCAGTCGGGCTTGTCAGTCCCTGAGCTGGATGAGCTGGTGGAAGGGGGCGAAGAAGGTGAGGTAACCTCAACAATCACTTCCTCAAACTCTTCCGCCTCAGCTGGTGTCCGCTGGGCGGCCGCAAGGCGACGGGCCTTGCCTCGTTCAACCCGAAGAGCTTGCTTCTCCGGATTGCGCGTGCCGCGGTGGTTCCGCGGTCGGCGCTTGGGAATGGGTCGCTCTGTGGCGGCGGCCTTTCCCTGGCCTTGGGTTTTGCTTTTGCCTTTTCCTTGACCCTTTGTCGGGTAAGGCTGTGAGCCGTGAGCGCGGCTGCTCTCACCCCACTCACTTGGTCCCTCTGTGCGAGAGAGGGATGTGTGACTCCTCCAAGGAGTCTGGTTTGAAGGGGGGGTCGCTGGCTTGGCCCCAGTCGTCCCAGTCACGGTGCCACGTCCAGGATCTGTCCTGGCCCTGGTGGCCTTGGTCGGCTTGCCAGCCCGACCAGCCGCAGTCCCACTTTGCACGGGACCAGTTCCAGCCCTCCCACGCAGCCGTGGTCGACTGGCCGCCAGGTGGCTCACCAGCTGCGGAGCCAGTGAACCAGCAAGGCGGGGCTGCCCGCACTTGCGGGCCTGTGCCCTGCTAAGGTAGCAGGGGAAGCGTAAGCTGGTCGGAGCAACCCGAACCAAGCTCCGCTACCATGCGAAAGCGCGGAGGAACCACGCAGGCGAAATTGGGCTCTTTTCTCGAAACTGAAAAAGGGCTGCGGTAGCTCAGGCTCAAGCCCCTAGGTCTTTACAAACAACTGTACATGTGAAACATCACGTATCACTGCATGGAGATTTACACCTTCACCTGTCAATCTCTAACAATTGCATCGAATCTCTCTCTACGCCGATGTTTAGAAAGTGTATCAAACATTTCAAAATCATCATCTGATGATCAACCAACATCATGGAACAAAATCTTAATTTGAATTTTTCTCACCTTTGGCTCCGGATCCCCCATCATCCGTGGGAACTCGTTTTGGACGCGTTTTTCCCGGCGGTCTGGGCCATCTCCTGGAGCGTGGGCAACATGTGGCAACGATGGACGCGTGTGTATTGGAACAAGGAGACTCCTCCCCAACCAATGTGTTTTTGGTTTGATTTTTTGGATGCTTTTGGTATGCGTTTCCTCTTGCCATCTCCCAACATCTATTCTTCCCAACATGCCGGCACATCTGACGTCTGATTTTGAACACCAGCACGTCTGAGCAGTGCAGTCTGTCACGCAAACATGATCAATCGGATCCCCGCCATCAGTCGTCGTTGCGACCCCTCCGTCGAGACGCAGGTTTCAACCCGTGGGGACCAAACCTGACGAAACCTGACGAAACGAGGGGCCCGCAACCTAGTAGCTGATGTGTTCAACATGAACATTCAAGAACAAAATTGGTTCCTCAAACTTCTTGCGCTCTCTAGTCTTCGGAAGCAGTCGGTTGCTTAAAAGGCTAGTCACCTACAAGGCACCTCGGTCGAGTTGGGCTCGGAACTGGCATGTCAAACAACCTCCACCAACTGAAAACAGTTGGAACATGTTGGAACTGGTCATGTGAGCTCAGTGCGCTGAAAAGTTGCAACAGGCTCATGAAAAGCAGTCTGGCTGACCCAAGAAATTGTCATATGAGTGCAGTCGTTCACACTTCTTGCTGGACCTGGAACACATGCCAGCGGCCACCAAAGATTTGAAACAATGTGAAGCATCTTCAAACACACACTCACCAGACTTTAGCTTGGATTTGCTTAAGGAGCCTGAAAAATACAATTACTTTACTTCGAGTGATCCCCACTCCCCACCATGACATTTCAATCCCTTTGTTTTCATGGCATGGTGTGAAACAACCAATCAAACGCAGTGACTCACAGAGTCATAGTCTTTCGTCTAAAGAGAAAGTCTTTTGTGAGACATAATATATGCCCGCTCAACTCTCCAGTTGATCTCATTCGACCTGGCGGCAGTTGCTACCTCAGGTTTGACGATCAGTCAAGCAAAAGCATGTCAAAACACGCCAGTCCATGCCGGTGTGCTGCCTGTGTGGACTGGTAGGTGGCTGCGATCTGGCGCTTGCTGTTGAGGTCCGGTAGTGCCCGGTGCGATCTGGCGCTTGCTGTTCAGGTCCGGTAGTGCCCGGTAAGATCTGGCGCTTGCTGTTCAGGTCCGGTAGTGCCCACTGCGATCTGGCGCTTGCTGTTGAGGTCCGGCAGTGCCCGGTGCGATTTGGCGCTTGCTGTGGTTCGGTAGTGCTCACTGCGATCTGGCGCTTGCTGTTGAGGTCCGGGAGTGCCCACTGCGATCATGCACGTGCAGTTGAGGTATGCGATCTGGAGCTGGTAGTTGACGTGCGGTAGTCAAGAAAACGAGAAGAGGAGGAGAAGAGGAAAGGAGGAAGAGGAGAAGAGCTCTGATAAAGTCTAACAACCCTCACCTGGCAGGTGGGGAGACATATTCACCAGAAGGGGATTCATAACCATAGGGACAATAAGAAAATCATCTTAGGGGATGGGGTTGAGATTAATTTGAGGGAAACCAACACACAAGACCCTTGTATTAGGCCACCCAGGCCTGCTAGCCCGATCCAGTGTCAGTTGAGCAAAGGATCAAACAACCCGCTACAACTGTCCCAGTGGCGAAGACATAGTGTTTCTGTGTCAACATCTTGAGCCCCCTTCAAGATTTGCGGGGTTTTGTCGGGAAGCATTGCATGATGAGTGGATTCAAGAACCATGTTGTATCCTTAGAGTCTTGATGCGTGAAGAGTGTAGGACATCGGAATGAAGCAACTTTGGGGCCACATCCTCATCTTCCCCCGGTCGGAATCTTCTGGGTGTTAAGCGGTTCCAGGACCCCGATCACAATGATGTTCACCGGAAAAGAACATGCTGGCGCCAAAGCACGTCCAAACCTCTCGGCCACGAGCGTCACGGTATCGCTGGACACGCGCACGCCTGCAAGGGCGTCAGCAGGGCGGAGGAGATCTGCTGGAAGAGGCCTTCGGCTCGCTGCCCTTGGCCACCGCTCACACAGGCATCGGCTGCCAGGCTGTAGGTCTCACCATCCTCAGGATCACTGGGATTCGCTGGACACTCGCAGAAACACAAAACCTTCAAAATGAATCTTACTGCAAACAAACACCACACTATATAACATATTACAAAACTCAAACTCTACGTCTCCCTGCGGAAGGGTTAATGGCGAACTGTTGATACAAACTAAAGGTATTTACAGTAACACTGGCGATTTTGCAGACCCTTGTGGAACTTCTGGATGCTGCATGCTCTTTCACTAGATACAGTACCTCTAGAGTTCATTCATGGACCTCTTCTGCCATCCCTGCTACCAGGACTCTGCCAGGCGTAAGTCTTCAGCTTCTTGTAAAAGTGCCAGCGCCAAAAGCCAAGGCCCTGCCAAGAAGAAGTACATACAACCGATACAACAGGTGAGCAGGTCCTCTGTGGGTGGTTCTCCAAAAGACCTGGGATTCGAGTAGATTGCGACCCATGTAGCTTGGGGTCGCCAAATCGATGACAATTGAGAATGACCACCCAAGACATCCCCAGAACCTCCTAGAAGCCTCAGCCTCAATCACTGAAGATATTCAAAATTCACGACTGAGTTTCTTGTTGCTCAGATCTTGTCAGCAAAACAGCCGATCCACTGAGCTCTGAGTGGCCTGCGGAGAGTGCGCGCAAAGCTGCGTTGTAGAGCTCAGTCTCCATCCTTGGTTCCAAAGCCCACCCACGCAAATCCGGGCGTCGGCGTCTCGGGAGAGAGGGTTTTCTGGCTGCCAAGGAGTGAAGATCAGTTGACTCCACGTCCGATGATGATCACGTGCCCCTGGGCCAGCCCCAATGCCAATGATGTTAGTCCTCAAGGTATGCAAAAGCGCACTCTGGCATACGAAGCTACAGTCAGCGGCTGCCCAGCTTGTCGTGACAGAAACTAAACTAAGAGCTCCTAGCCAATTCACGTGTTGAAGAGGGCACTGCCGCATAAACACTCCAAGCTTTCAACCACATATTATATATAATCATATATACTGATCTACGTCTCCAAAAAATGCTCCCTTCTGAGGAATCCTGACTGTAGCGAACCTCCACAAACTGGGACAAAAAGCAGTGACTTCGTTTGATCTCAAGATGTAGACTTCGTTCGATCCAGGTTTGGGATTCTTCAGAACCGTATACCAACCTCACCCCAACGCAGCCCAGTCATTCCAGACTCCAAATTCCTGACAGTTTCTGCCAGGCTCCTCATGTTCACCGTCAAGTTTGTGTAGCTTATTGGAAAGATTGCAAACCCTGCTGGAGGTTCCACTGTCAGCCACAGCTAGAACAGTCGTTATGTGCATCAAAATTGGTCCTCCAACCAGCCTAGTCTCTCAAAGGTATGATACGGATGCATCAAATTTCTATGACTCCAAAATATCCCGAAGAATCGGCCCTGAAACTGTCTTCCATTGCATTCTTGATGTACCCTTTGCAAACCTGGATCTTTCAACTCAAAACTTCTAAAACAATTCAGCCATGCAGGATCTTCCAGGACTCGTGCAGGAGTTTCAACTGTAAGATCCAACCGATCCAACCCCTCCCCACCCGTCACCCATCACCGGTCCACCTCGGCATCGTCGCCTCGCGCAGCACCGCCACGGCCGCCGCCCAGCGCCGCGCCTTGCCGCAGGCGCCCAGCAGGGCGCCCAGCAGGGCCCAGCGATCGGACGTGGCGGTGAAGCCTAGGCCGCCAGTGAACTGAAGTGGAGGGGGATGGTGGATGGATGTGGATGGTGGGGAGTGAGATGAAGTGGTGGCTTCCCAAAGCGGAAGGTGCGCAAGGTGTGGTCATGTCTGGTCTATGCTGCTACGGAAGTGTTCCCAAGACCAGCTGAGCCCTCTGCAGATGGTGTGTATAAACCCAGTGTCAAAGTCCCGGTGTCAAATCGCAGGAGCGAACTGTGGACTGTTGATGGGAGACATCCTGCGCCACCTGGAGTCCTCAAAACACTGTAAAAAGCCACAGAGAGGTTGAGCGGCCGTATGGCCTATATCCCTACTATAGTAGGGTCCCCATGCATGTCTCTCAATCTCTCTTGGAAGTCACAATTCCGGATGGGTTCCAGAACTCTTGCCTTCAGAAGTGATCGCCATTTGGATCCCTCCAGGAATCCATCCCAACCAAACCGCCAAGAAGCACCGCCCCCCCCCGCCAAATCCTTCCACCCAATTCCCCGTCCCGTGCACCCACAAAACGAACGAACACACATTGGTCCTGAGCAGTTCTCAATCGCAGCTCTTTTCAGCCCAGCGGCTCCAAACGCCTAAGGCCTGTTCCCACTTGCTGGCCTCGGTGACCGACCATCGGATCGTAGGTGGCCGGATTCTAGGGGGCTTGGTATGGAGATCAGAGTTCCAAAACCAACCAACTAACGTCCCGAAATGCTATATTCGGTATACTACACAATATATGCTATGTACAACCAACTAACGTCCCCAAAAACCAACCATGGTATACTCTACTATTCAATGTACTACAACCCTTCCTCAGTGGCCTGCGCCAAGGGGCATCAGCACAAGCGGATACCACAGCGTTGGAGCGTTTCAGATCACCTGCCAGCCATGGAGCAGCCGTCAAGCCCCTAAAGCATCCTAAAGCCTCCAGGCACTTGATAGTGCATTTGATGCAAACTGCTGCTTAAAGTAACTGGGTCAGGTCCTGGTGAGGTACTACCTGGGCCATCCAGACGGGGCGTCCAATGGACACCATCACAGACTCCATGTAATCCATTCAACAACGCCTGACGGTGGGAACTTGGTCGCAGACCCTACTAAGCTCCTGGATGCGCTTGGATGCCTTTGGTAAGTCAGACGAAATACCAAAGCCCACAGTCAGCCTGAGTCGTGAGACGCTCCAGTCCTGGCTAGTCATTCTCATGAGCTTCTTCGTTTTCGACTCCACCACCTTCCACTTCAACCCCATACAACCCCAGAACCCTCCAGTGGAGGTGTTTCATCTTGCTCGTCAAACAGGTCCTTCCCATCTCTTTTCCTTCGTTCCTTCGAGCAACGAATGTACGAGAAACCAACGGTCAGGGCCGAAGGTTGTTCATCATGCCGGACCGAAGCGGTGTCTGTTGAAGCATACCAACAGTAAAGCATGAGGGTTCCCAGTGTTTGGCGGAAACATCTTGGTTCCCTGGTTTGTTTAGTAAATTGCCTACAAGATCTACAAGAACCATCCAGCAGACATCTCAACAAATTGTGCCTAGACTTCCACTGTTCATTCTCCCAATCCAGGACATGTTCTCAGACGGTCTTGGAGCAAGCAGTTCGTCGCCTGCCTCGTGTCTGAAAAGCCGCTCAACGCCATGGCATGGCTCTGGGTCATGGCACCGGGACACCCTGCCGTTTTTTTCCCACCAAACATGAGCACCACTACTAGACATAGTAACCCTAGCAGGGAATAGGGTCCCTGGTCTTTTGCTCCGCCACATGTATAGGTAATTGCCAGGTCGCCTCGCAAATGCTGCTCTTGCTCTCCCAGCTGGAGCGCCACCGCCCAGCTGCTGTGCGCGAGCACCGCGCTGGAGCTGCTCCGTCGTCGTACGCCGCGGAGGACGGCCACGTCCTCCGGCGGTCCACGACACCCGGCGGTCCGGGGTTCCCTGCTTCGGACAGGCGAAGGGTCGTGGGACACCAAGACCGAAAGGACTGAAGTCCTGAAGATGCTGTCCTGATCAGTTCACTGAGGAACATGCTGCGTGGTATGAACACTCGCAATGAACACGAAACTAGCGTGCTAGCATGTGTGTTGGACCTAATCCTTTAGAACATCTCCAAGACCAAAATAGACCGTAGACCCTGAAAACAACACCCTTGGAAACTAAACTAAGATGATAAAAATGCAGTTCAACATTAGACCTCCAGCAACCCAGATCAATCAAGCAACGACAAGGGAGCCTGTTAGACCTCTGTGGAATCCAGTGGGGACAGGGGGCCTAGCAGCTAGCAGTTCATTTGCACATGTGCCAGGCCACTATTGCCAGCTGCCACTGCTCGGCCCGTGCCCAAACGTCCAAGGACGTATCCGCAGTGACAGGCCCGTGGCTTGGCGCCAGAAGCAATGCTTGTGCCCAGCGACTGCCGTCCTGATGGGTTGGCAAAACTTGTGACATGGTCATGCTTGCAAACGGATCAACATCTGTGCCGACACGTCCCCACCACTTAAAAAGATCATTACGAACGCACTTTTCAATTACTCAATGTGGGGCTTAAAAACCTTACAGAGCCCTGTGCGCCGAATACTACGAATCACTATGAATCGCAAGTGCAAATCTGTAGGGCAGGCCACGGATTCAGCAAGAGTTGAGTTTGGTGTAAGGACTTTGCTCTGATTCCTCCACCCTGCCATTTTTGCAGTGACAATTTGATGAACCCACACACACAATTCACATACAGTAAGGTTTATAGTCATGTGAAATCATGCTAGAATATGTAAAAGCTGCATGGAATGTAAATTCTGCCGAAGCATGGGTGCTGGCTGTATTAGTATATATAGGTTAACACGTAGTTAACACGTGTTCAAGCTCCAGTTTGTCTATCCGCCTGAATTGATGGTCATCCTCAGCAAACTCCACAAGATAGAAGACTGGGCTGCCTATGGGAAAAGCCATCACTGAGAGCCCCTGCATCTTCAAACTCTATTGGCATCATACGTAAATAGGTACACGAATTAGGTACACAAATCCAACAAAGTTCAATTTCCAAAGTACTAAATGAGTTCCTACCATCACCTTCAACCAGGGTATATATAGACTATATACATATATATATACACACAGTATGACTTTTCTACATGACTGTTCCCTGCCCTTGTTCAAATGCCTTGCGTGTGGGTGTTTATTGTGTGTTTTTTCTTTTGAATCTATCTAATATGTCACACACCTGACATAGCTGACCTACGAACCGGGTAGACTTCGAACCGCCGGGTCTGCGTTGAATCCCCGGGGAGCCCGCGCATCCGATCGTATCCCGATGGCCGCGTCGCGGCGCCTCGAGCGCCAGCATGGCGACACTGGCAGCCACAGGATCCTCTCAAGTCCAGGGAAATTGAGGGAAATCAAGTCTCCACAAGGTTGGACACCTCGATTTCAGGAAAATCAGAATTGGATGGATATTGATGGATTGAAGTTGATGTGAAGTTGATGGGAAATCAACTGGAGCAGTGAGAAAGAGACGCATCTTACTCTTACTCTAAGAACCCCAAGCGTCTTACTCAGTGTGCATGGAATTGTCGTTGCCAAGAAGCTCCAAAGTCCGCTCTGGCAATGCTGTTGATGGGAAAATGAAACGAGTCCTTTAATTGATCTGTCGCAAGAGGGCGCCAACAAATAAAGGAAGCTGAGTCGACCAAGAAGCGCCCAGAAAGCTTCCAGCTTTGGTTCCAAGATCCGATTGGAAGATCTGCGCATGCTGTGATATATAGGTATCATGGTATATCAATTGTCCCGCTTTGTAAAAAACACAAAACACGTCCAAAAGCCATAAACCAAAATCAAGAAGACAACACGTGCAATTTGTTTCGCAACAATGCATGAGTCACCAGCTGCAAACGTTCGGATTCCAACATCACAACCTCATGTCTTTGGGCTTTCGCTTCTTCAACCAGCAGGTGAGCTTGCCATCCTTAAGTCATTTAATGTCATTTAGAGTAACTACCCGGTGAGCCACCCTGGTGTGCCTGGTCACCTACTCACAATTGCCATTTATATGAGTAGACTATCCGTCACCATCTTCAGGCTTCCCTCCAGCATCATTGTGCCTCACATGCCTCACGCGCCACGGCATTCGCCACGGCCCGCGCCCAGTGTCCAGCTTTGCGATAGGCTGACAAGGCGCTGGTATGACCTCGAGTCACAAAAACCAAGGAGAACTGGAGCTGGGAGTCCGTTTCACCCTAGAACATGCAGGTGCTGTGCGACAAGGTGCAACAGTCTTTTTCTTCAGAAGCTGTGTTCCAAAAAGGATTCTCACCCCAAGGACGGGTTCCTCCACTCCATGTAGAACATGTCAGTCTACCGTCAGAAATGAGGTCCGTCTTTTCGCAGGTTCCACGGTCGCAAAACCCATCGCGGTAAAGTCTGAAATGCACTTGATTGACAATTGACAGTCGATCGTCGACTCGGGTGATTGAATGTTTAAAGATGTTTTTTGAAGCAAAAAGTATGCCCTGGATGAGACCCACATGGAAGAGGAAAACAGTCTTCCAAAGGTCCATTTTCAGGCTCTATGTTAATCTTCACAGGTGTATGGTGCTTCACGGTCCCACACCTGCACGCGAAACGGACTTTCGAATTCAACCGCTGATCAGCATGAATCATGACAGCCAGTAGGAAAACAACACGTTCTTCCTGCTGAAGTTTTGCCTGATTGCCTGTTAAGTACCGTGATTCATGGCATCTTGTACAAATGTGTTGCTGCCACTTGTTTGTCAAGGCCACAATCTAGTTATTGTTCATCCAACTAGAAGCCCGGTTCTTCCGAACAACTCCTCAGAACCAATGTCTATCAATCTGCAACTCTACAACCCCTTGGATAATCATGGATAATCCATTTGACCCTAGTGCAATGAAACCTGGACAAGCTACTCGCTACACTTCTCCAAAGGTTGGTGACAACTATGACCACTAAGAAAAGTAGCCTTCTTTCACTGGTCCGGTGATCCTCTCTTCACATATCCCAGTCCAAGAAACTCCTGATTCCCGTCTCTGCACCCTGCTGACACATCTCAGCCAGCATCAGCGCCGCCTGATGCCATCTCCCGAAGTCGACACGCAAATATAGAAACCCATCCGCTGGTTGAAACCAAACCGCCCTCTTCAGGCGGAGGATGACACCCACTAAACCCACTAGTCCGTCCGCCCGGACAAAAACACACACCTTGGGCCATCTTAGGGCCCTCGAGGCTGGTGCTGTTCGGAATGTTCAAACAGGCAGAATTCTCGTTCGAGTCATCTCCTGCACTGGCCCGCCATACGCGGTCGAATGCGGTCAAAATGCTACACCCGAAAAAGCACTCCTAAAGGTTTGGGCCAATACTTGAATGCAAGGGCTTGAGAGAAGTACCAAGATGTACCAAGTAATTAAGTACCGTAGTCCGTCCCACCGCATAAAATGGTCCACCACACATTGAACCCGAAAACGAGGCCTTAGGAACTTCTCATCTTCCCAAATCTCAAACCCTGCATGTAAAAATAAGAAAGAGCTTCTTGGCTTCTGTTCCACCGCATCCAAACGTAGAAACCTTTCAATCTGGGTCCCTTCGCTCACATCTGGCAGCAAGTCCAGTCCCACATGACTCTGCTACCAAGCTTGCCTCTTCACCTGGGGACACTTCTGAAGTCAAAAACAAATACAACTTTGGACTACTTTGGACACTTAACACCAAGAAAGAATACAACGTACAATTTTTTTTGCTTTGGAATACTTTGGACACTTCCAGCTTCTTGCTAGGCACCGAGCCGCGCCTGCCAGGCCTCTGCATCTCCGCAGCTGCTGATGACCGCGCTCCAGGTGGCATCGTCCACGCGCCCTGACGACGGATGACTTCGGCATGAGAATCTCCCGGACCTGGTGGAAGACTTGTGGAAGCCAGTGCTTTAAGTTGGGCCTGAAGCTTCACGACTTCTGGGCCTTTGGGCCGAAATGAATTGTATTATTGTGCCAGAATGATTCGTCTGACTATTGACATCTATATATTGACTCGAAATTCACTGCGCCTGCTTGGGGTGTCCATCTCCGTTTCTTGCTCAAAGTCTACCTACTCGGTTGCACAGCCCTCCACCAACCACATAGCCTTGGGTCTGCAGGAACTGCAAAAGCTCCAAGGCCAGTGGCCATGAGGTCTCATCCAACATGCCCATCAGGCAGCGGTAGCTCACAACATCAGGCTTCACATCAGGCTCCTCAAGAGTAAACATGGACCAAACAAGGGGCTACATCAGGTGGTATAGATGGACTAAAAATGAGTTGCATCCATGATGTCAACAAGTTGTTCAAGGGGCAATCACAAGCATAAACATATACAGTTCTATCATGTTTTGCAGTATCTAAGTGCGGGCATCGGCATATGGTTAGATTGAGCTTGTGGGTTGCCGGGCTGTCAGCCACTATGTTCTCTAGATTGGAGCAAACGTCGAGGGCAAACCATACAAGTGGTCCCATGAAAGCCATTATCATTACTCTAAACCAGGAAAGTCCTAGCAACACATCCGGGGACCAGCAAACCTCCATGGCACAGACCGCCACGACCGGTAGCCCGGCAAAGTCCTTGCAATCAAGATTTCCCAATGGCACAGCGTGCTTGATGCCCATAGAAATCACGTATTTTGTATGTGGTTTTGGTAGGACTTCGCATGGCACAGCGCCAAGGAACATGGCTTTGTCATGCTTTGTCACGAACCTGTTTTGGATGGAAACACTGTGGTTTGCATGGCAGGGCCTACTACCTGTCAATGTCTTTCATCCTAAGAACCAGCATGGCACAAAGGTTTCATGGTAACCTGGACATGGTACCCACCGATGGGAAAGCAACTAACCTTTCTGATCCTAAATTGATCTTTGGGTCGAACTGCTTGGCACAGATGTGGTGAGTTCAGGACATGGCCCACCAAACCATTCAGCGACAGCGAGCAAAGATTGTTTTCTCACTTTGCTCTTCGCACCTTGCTGGGTCTCACGAACCTGCACTTCCGGTTCTCTTCCCAAGCTTCCAACCACTTCGTGCGAGCTTGGGTATTCTTGAGGCCACCAACTTTCTTGAGCTCTGCAGACATTATCTTGTAGAGCGGCATTGACTTCCTGACTTGGGGCTGTAAATGCTCTCGCACAAAGAAATCTGCCACTGGCCGCACACGCTCTCGCCTCTCCTTGGAAAAAAGAGAAGCCAAATAGTGCACACAGCCATCGCATGTGTTCAAATCCCATTCCTGGTCACTTTCATTGACCTCAGCCGACGGTTCCTTCCCACTGGCAGCAGCTGCGCCGCTTTCAGGTTCTTTGGAAGGCGGAAGCGCTGCTGAATCAGAGGTCTTTTGTTTTTTGGTCCTAGAGCGCAGTTCTGCCAACAAATCTGTCACTGCTTCACGGCTGAAACTTGTATCGCCCTCGGGTACCTCCACCTCTGAAGCACTCTTCCACCCTGACCTTTTGCCATCACGGTGCACCTCATAGGTACCCTTCTCGAAATTTTCATTGGGAATGGAACAGTTTTGACAATACTTGCTTGTTGCCAAGACCCAGACCTGGCACGCCTTACAGCGGGACTTGCTAGGTGAGCACTTCTCAATGACTTGCATCAGGGGCGTCTGCGGCTTCTCGGCGTATTTGTAGCTTTGGATCACCTCGCTGTATCGTTCAACCAAAACGACATCACTGCTGGTGACAAAAATTGATTGTGCCTATCAAGGCTTTTGGCCGTAGATTGGGGAAAGTTGACTGCTTCCTGTACATATCAAGTTTCTATTGAACAGTGCCCCTAATTTCTGGACAGCGTGTTGGAAAAAACCTTAGGCTCCTTCCATGGATGTTCTCAGGGTGTCTTTGTCTCATGACACTAGTCACTAGCCCCCTCTCCTAAAAACGGCGAGCGAAAGCAAAGGAACAACAACAGCAACAACAGCACCAGCCACAACACCAGCACACCGGGCCAAGCATCTGGAGGTTCTACGGGCTGTTGTCGTACAGCTTGAAGCTCCTGGAGGCGTGTAGCTTGAGGGAAGAAGTGAAGCGAAAAACACGAACAAAAACAGAACCCAGTGAAAGCGAACTCGCAAAGAAGCAGCGTCAGCACCAACAACATGACAGGTACACCAACAAAAGCAAACAAAGAAGACACAAGGAAGAAACGAACTACGAGTACAGTGTCGAGTCTCGACTCCCGATACCATGGTGGGTGTGATCAGGGCTTGCCACAAAAAACTTCTTATGACCACTAAGAACGATACATAAATAAATACAACAAAATATATATATATATATAATATATATATATATTAGAACTATAGTGCCTGGTCATGCAACACATAGAGATCATCTTTCACCAGCTGCCTCTGGTAATGGAAGAGACCCAAGCAATAACCCCATTAAAGGGCAGAGCTTCCTCTGACAATGGTTAGATGGGACAAGTTGACGCGCGATGCCGAGAAAGCCCTGGAAACCTTCAGGCCAAATCCTTGGCCACTGACTCTGGTGATGCTTCCCGTGTTCTCTTCCTCTGCGGCGTCTCCATTGTGAAGCAATCAACGGAGCTGTGGCCACAAATCTTGGGCCAAAGAAAAGGCCAAGCACTGCATATGTCAATCCAAACAAAACCAATGGAGCAACCACCTTTTGAAAACAGTGGACCCACAATCGCAAGTGACTTTCCCCATGTAACAGAAGAGCATGGGTTGCCTATAGAAGCATCTTGATGCATAGCTTTCACCAATGGCACACCGGTTTTTGGTCAGATCTTCCACATGATAGGCCTCATGATGGGGGTAAACCCAATGTACAGCACGGTGTTCAATTCCGAAAGGCACAGAGACATTAGACACCAAAGTGCTGCATCAGGTCATTATATAATTCAATATCATTGCTATGGTTTCCTTTAAACTCGAAACACAAGCAGCACAGAGTTCGCAACGACTTTTGAAAATAACAAATCACAATGGTACAGGCTCAAAATCATGAATTCGCAACGACTTTCCTGTTTGGGAGTATACAACACCATGATTATCATCTTCGAGTAGAGAGAGCATTAGACAAATTGCCGGTGTCATCCCGTGTCTGTTGACGTCGATTGGATTGTCCAAAAACTTTAAGTAAATCAACTCTTCCTGGACGCTAACAAAAGTTCTCTAGAATGGATCATCTGTTCAAGCAGTTCTGTCATTGGTGCACCACCAAATCAAAATTTGACACAACATCTCACACAACTAACACAAAACAACCCAAACCGTTGTCAGCTTCTCAACTTGGGTCAACAAAACTCAACTCCACCTGGCTCGTGGCACAAGACTCCTCCTCCATGCGTTGGAGCCACCGAAGACCCATGGCCCACTGCGTCGGCCCTTTGCCTCGTGCAACGTGGTGCCCGCATCCAGAACACATCGACTCACTGGAAGGGGATGTAGAAAACCACGCGTGGCATGGAACTGCGGAACTGCACCAGGTGGCCAGTTTCAAAAACGTAAGCCAGGTGGCGAGTTGGATCCAGCTACCTTGCCGAAGCCCTATGCACGCGCCACACAGCTTCCAAAAGAAGAACCCCCCACCACTGGCCAAAGTCAAGGCACCAGCAGCTAAGATGCAGTTGTAACAAATCCGATTCAGCTGCAGTGCCTGAGATTCTGTTGGACGAGACGCTGGCGCAGGGTGGATTGGGATATAACTGATATAACAACCTTCGACCACTTTTCCAGAGTGTCATGAGCCTCAATGGGAGAGGTGGTGCCCGACTGCATAAGGTCTCACCAAAAATCCTCAAAACAAAATGCATCGAACCGAATCTAGATCGAACCTGCTGAATGCCAAGCCACCCGCGCGCTCAGGTCCTCAAACAATTGCAAGGTCCGGCGCCAGCCCTGAGAGGTGCCCCAGGTCCTGCGTCCAGCGCTGAGCAACGTGCTGCAGCTGGTGGCATCCACTTGGATTCCTGCGAGACGAACCACGGAGAACGGGACTGGGAAAACCAAAAGGATCCCCAGATTCGGTTCGAAAGAAGGGGACGAGATCCTTTTGGATGACGTGAACAAAACAGTGACGCGATCCTTTCCGGAAAACGAACCGGGTGGGCCAACTGAACGCTTTGTTGAACGCTTAGGTTGACACCTTTGACAGTGGCACCACCCAGGCAGGACCTCCCAACCCACCGTACCTGCCGCGCAACAGGTGGCGAAGAGCGCCTCGGCGTGGGGCCACTGGGCCGCCGGGAACCTGGCAGACTTCACCCGGATGGGAGGCCGCGGAGGCCAAACAGTTGGAGCTCCAAATCGAGAAGCCTCGAGACCTATAAAAGCCAGTCTCTTAGATGTTGTCACTTTTCGTTGAGGGTGGTGAATTGTGGTGAAGTGTCCAAACCAACTTTGGAGTTCGGGTTCATTCGGGTTCAATCTCGGGCGTCATGGACCAAGTGACGACCAGCGGTGCTTTCTAACACCATTTACCTTCTCAAATTCTTCAGTGGTATACAGAGGATTGAGAGTAGATGGCACAATCCCGAAGCTAGGTGGTTTGTACGGATCCCCATCTAAAAGACATCATGGGGGGAAACGTGCCATCTACTCTGAAACCACTGTAGTTCAACCGGAAAAAACAACATCATGAGTCGATGATCCGCAGCAACCCTGCCCTGCAAGCAAACGTTCAGGGCTGAATTCAGAACGTCCTGAAACAATTCTGGTCCAGTTACCACTGGAAGAACTCAAACAGATTTTTCGGATTAGTTTCAGAGGTCAAAGGCCTTTAACAGGACACGCTAGGGAGTGGTGTAGGTATACTGTGAGATATATATAGGCCATGTTAGGGTCCGTTTGTGCACACAGCCCGATCTAAAACAAGCATCCTAACATCCTAACACTATGCTGAATTAAAATGGTACACACACAAATTGATCAACATCATGTTCCTGAATATGCCTCTGTACCAAAAAACCGAGGCCACGGCAGGTCACCAGGGTCACGGTGCACCGGACCTGTCACCGATGCGGCGGCCTGGGCCTCCGGACGCCTCCAGCAGAGCGTTGGCGCCGTGCAGGGCGGACGCACCGTGGATCGGTGGGAAGACCTGAGGAGGCTGCGTCCAACTGCACCGAAGTACGTTCGAGAAAAAAGAATAACAAAAAGAGGATCCCATCCGGCAACTATGACCCCAAATGGAGTCCCATCCGGAAGAAGAAAAGACAAACAGCCCAAATGGAAGGCCGTATTTACTGTCCCATGGATCCTTTGGGATGGATGAGAATGAACACCTCTGGAAGACGGACCCATGATCCCCCAAAGCAACCCAAGTGGTTTGGGGGAGTCCATGTGGTCATCTGCAAGGGAAGTACTCTCAATGATATGACTCTGTATATGCTATTAACAGGGTCAAGTGCATGATGATGATGGCTATAGGTTGGAGGCTTTCCCAAACACAGTGACTGGTAATGGGACAAAGCTTGGGTCTCACTGAGAAGAGCGGAAAGAGCTGGTGTCTTTAGAAACCCAGGCAAACGATTGGTTTTGCGGACCACTCACTGGGTGCTTCTATCTAAAGTCTATATATAGTAAGAAGCGATTCATGGGACCTACTTTAGGGTCTTTTTGAGGGTCTGTTTTGGATTGTTTCATCTTTATTCGAACAGCGACGGCCTTCCTCTTGGTCCACCCATGAATTGGATTTGCATCAGGAACCGGGAAGGAATACCAATTCCTCTGAAGGGGATTCACCCATGTTAGCAAAAAGAAACATCACGGCACAACCAAACAATATTGTGGCATATGCATATAGCATATGGGTGTGTATTGAAATTTCGGGAGACCTCCCAGTTCGAACCCCTGGAAGAAGAACCACACCCATCTCTGCCATATCTCCATTCCATCTCCCGTCCGTCTGTCTCCCCCCGCCTGCAGTGCCTCAGCCCAGCGTGCCTCCGCGCCACAGGCGGCGATAGTGAAGCTGCCGCCGTAGGCGCCGGGCACGACGTTCGCGGCGGAGCTGAGGAGGTGACATGCCTGGACAGGGCGGATCCGCGTGGAGGGGATCCGTTGGTTTTGGGCTCTGCATCGGCTGGACAGGAGGTGATACGCCCCTACTATAAAGACCCTACTATAACGGGTGCGTGGCGCAGTTGCTTACATGTCCGTGGTGAGCTCAGTTCACGTGTTGGTTACAACCGGGTGCGTCAGACGCCTCCAGCAAGGAACCCTACGAAGCATTCGAGGAATGGGGTCTTTTAGATGTCAACCAGGGTTCCCAGTTCATTTTATCAGCCAGGGTTCAATATATAGTTTTGTTTTTTAAGTTCCTGGGTTTTGCCCCACTCCTTGGACGACACAGCTGCTCAGGGGAGGTGAGCGGCCCCTGAACGCGCTTCATTGCGCCGTCACCACCATTCATCCGATCATGGAGGGCCAATGTGCGGGATCAGATCGAAAACTCATCGAAGTGCATCGAAGATTCGCCGGGATTTGATGTGTTGTTGAGGGGTTTTATGCGCCAAGTCATCCAAGTCTGGAGAACGCCGGGAACAATGCTATTGATGTGACAGAAAAAAAGAAAGAAACATACATGTTGGCTTGGTACTCCTTCCATGTCGTTTCAAGAGCTCCCTTCACCAAGGCGACGTGGCGACGCCCATCACCTTGGACTCCCCATTGGAGGCCAAGGCACCTCTGCCCATCTGGAGGCCCTCAAAGATAGATCCAACGTAACAGTGTCTGGCTGCACCTTGAGGTCCTTGAGGCTCCTGAGCCGATGTGAAGCGAAGGCGGTGAGGTGGCAAAGGTGAGAGACAGCGTTACTGACTCACCCTCTCTATGTCAAGTTGAAGCGAAGCAAGATGGACCGCCCATTGGCGTCCAAAATGCAATCTTCTGAGACTTTTGCTTGACAACATTTATCCACCTCAATCGCCAGTTTTGCTCCCCCAAGACACCTCCCCACGTCCGGACACGCCCATTCACACGCCTATCCTCACCCGCCCTCTTCCGCCCGGTCGCCGCACCATCGCCAGGCTCTTGCTCCACGTGTCTTTGACACAGCCGTTCAGCACGCTGTTCCACAAGACCTGACCGATGCGGGCGGGACCCACCAGTGTCCGCGGCCGGGAGAAGCTACTCTTGGAGCGTTACTCAGAGCTACAGCTACCAAGTCCTGACAGCTTTTTGGTAAGACAGGACCCCGAAACATGAGTTGAGTTTTTAACGCCAATATATATATATATATAAATCATAATATAATAAACAATTGTATTTAGGAACCGTTCCGACTTTGTCATCGGGATTCGGCGGGAGAACAGAAAGAAAGTCAAGAATGCCTTGGGTGTATCCCACATGTCCCGTTAAAAACAGTGGCCAGTAGAGTCAGAGGCCTTTCTCACAAATAGTAAGAACCTTTGATCGACTGTTACGGGTCATGGGACACACTAACAATGCCCTACAAATCCAAACCCAGTAAAAGCAACACTGCTGCATGACTGTACGACCATGTCCAATAAAATTAGACCCTCGAGCTGTAGGCCGGGATAATCAACAACAAATGTGGCCAGTGACGGAACACCCTGTTTGAAGGAGAAAATTATGAAAATGGATACCTCCGGCTCCTTAGCCTTAGCCCCCTCCTAACCACTAGCTAGAAACCATCATCCGGGTCTGACCCCCTATTTTTTACGTCTCAAGGCTCAAGCTGTTTCTAGAGTGGGATCAACCCTGGTATTAGTATTGGTTTTGAATGATGTAGTTCTTTTTGTACAATCATGTATCTGTCTGTTTCTGGGATGTGAATAGCCGCTTAGCCTGATCACATGGGCGTGCATCCAAGATACCACTGGGCGTATGATGGCTTATGCGCTGTGTTTCTCTTCAGTTTCTTTTGGCTTCAATGCCATATCCATCACTGGGTGTCTCTCCATTCCAACACCCAGTGACTTCTCCTCGATTGACTTCTCCTCCGAGGCACTGCACTCGAACGCACCCCTTTGCCCCGCCACTCTTCCACGGTCACCAAGGAGGCTTGCCACCCCCGACGGCTTCGCAGGAGGACGCTGACATGGAAGGCGTTCACCTGTTGACCGGAAAGAAGATGCACACGCAAACCAATAAGGACCAGAGTCCGGAATCTTGTATCATCATTCTCAAATGTATCATCGACATGTTAGGAATCATGCAGGGGTACTGGCAGGTACCCGTGAAAAGATGACACTTTGGGGCTGAGAGATCGTACAGGATGTTGTCCATCCAGGGGTGTTCCCAAAATTCTTACAATAGCTCTGATACCACTTGGTTCATACTCCTGAAGGGGTCAATGGCATCCAAGGTCCGGTCCTCCCAAACAAACATTGTCCAGCTGATACGCAGAGGCTGTAGGGACAAAGCTTCTCCAAAGCCACAAGAAACTGAGAAAGATTATATAATAGGGAACCAAAACACACAAACTGTGATAGATGAAGGTGAAATGTCTCTGATCAGTGTGCAAAAAGTTTAATCCTCCTCTTGTCCACCTTCTGCTTTGAGTGCCAGCGAAGGTTCTTTCGGAAGGGGAGCTTACTTCTTTTCATTTATTGCATTGACTTGCCGTTTCATCACGATTCAAAGGGTTCGTGATCAGCCCCTTCTAGGTCAGGGGTCTAACCCTTCTTCCCTCTGCTTCATGCGCATCCCACCCCCCCCAGGCCCTAGCCCCAACCGCGCTCACCTCTAGACCGCCCTCTTGCAAGGATCGCCTGGGCGCACGAGATGCGTCGAGACTGGAGCCTATGGACTTTCTGGACCAACATCTTCAAAGGTGCAACAAAAGGATCCAAGGCTGACAAAGCGGAAAACCAACTGTTACCGGTCATCGGATACACCGGTCATGCATGGGGATGTAGAAGCAAAGTCGACCCACTCCAGCCGATGTCACCAGCAGTCATCCAAGAAATTGGCAAGGGGGTCCTTAAAACCGCAGCACAAAGGTGTCTCATGGGGGCGGAAACTACCCTGGTATACCTGACGAAAAGGATACCCTGGTGCACATGGACGACATGACGAGAAGTGGGATAGCAGGAAAATCCCAGCTACCATGCCATGAATTGAGTACACTCTGACTCACTTTTCCTTGATGAACAGCGGGTTAGTGAGTCGGAGGGTAATTACTCTGCCCTGACCACTCTGTGATTTCCACCATAAACATCAACCTCTTGAGAGAAATCATCACCTTTAAAGAACGACCTGTCTACCCGGGCTCCCCTTTGGGAGGCTAGCCTAAACTCCAACGGAACAGGACCGCCACTTTCACTCCATATGCCATCCCTTTTGACACATACGGACCGACCAAGTTGATACCAACTGTGTCAGGCCGGGAACCTGACTTCAACGCCCAGGTGGTAGTACGGCAGAGGGGCCACCGTCGGACACTTCGGTTGAACTCCACTTGATCGAACTGTTCACCAACTCAACTAAGCTTTTCAGCCTAGCTTTCGCCGCCTTTCGCGGCTCTGCAGGGCTAAATGCTGCAGTTTTTAGTAGTTCTCCCAACCCAACATGTCTCATTCTCCCAACAACATCCAACCTCCGAGTATCATCCGAGTTTTTTGTGGGGCCTGCAGTCCATACCGCAGTTCTCCCCCACGGTTGTTCACTGCTTAGGCCCCTGCCCAAAGGGTTTGCCCACACGACCGAACAAAAAGACCAAGCTCGGCATCCACCAACTTCAGAGCAAGGCTCAAGAGCTCTTCCAGTTCTGAATCCTTGGCCTGCAGCAACAGCTGGGTGCCGTGCTTGGCGTTGCAGCGGAACCTCAAGCAACCAAAACCGAGGCGAAACTTCGACGATCCCAAAGCAGCAACAACCGAAAAAGACTCCCCCAGGAGTCACAAAGGGGTGGTGTGGCTCGTCCTATCCACTGAGTGGATGTGACAAGGGCACCCCTATCCTCCGCACCCAACTCCATGGAACTGCTGGCCTACAGAGTTCGAGGATCTCGTTCCAGGACCTTCTTCCATACAAACACATGCGTTCTCCTTTCCTTACGGTGAAGTTATAGGTGCTACTTGGGACCCACACTGCACGTGCTGAACGCCCCACGGACGGGACCGACCGAGTCGTAACACTGCAGCTGAGCTCGCCAGCCTCACCGGGACTGGAAGATCGACCCCATTGAGCCCTGAAATCAACCACCCCAATGATCCTCCTTGGGCTACACCAGGTGGAGTTGGGTCCCCCAAAATTTTATCAGGGGCTCAAGCCCTCCCAATCCTAGCCAGGGTAGGCCGACGGGGATCCCAATGTAGGTCTCGAAATATGCCGGTCCCAAGTACAAGTCTCAGCTGACCTGAGGAAGCACTGCAGTGATGCCACAACTAAGCATCCAACGAAAGCACATGGCTTTGTTGAACCCAATGAGGGGACCAACCCCTACCGAACTAGGTGTTGCATTGTGGTACAAGCTGAGCTGGGTGTTCAGTTGCTTGAGATGAGGAAGATCCACTGACTCATATACTGTATTTTTCCGAGTTGAAACCACCAACCAGTAAGTCATGGGTCATTGTGGGATGCCCAGGAATATCCAGGAATGACTTTAGATCCACTGGAATCAGTGTCCATGGAAAGGGGGACCCTCTTTGTTTGAGACCAGATCGACCCCAACGCAGAAAAATTATCCTGGAGTCCTGGAGTCATATCACCAATCCACGGCTCCTCCCAGGAGCAAACGACGCCCCTCCCTTGCAGTGTTGGAGACGCCCGTGCATCTGCCCTGGAGAAGATGGATCAGGTGGCGGGAACGTGGCAACGTTGGTGGCGGGAATCGGGCCAAAAGAAAAGAACCCGAAAACCAAAACATGGTAGGCCTAGAATCCTAGAACCCAACCATGGCCTGTGTTTTGATAGGATAAAACTTAAAGCACAAAAAAACTGTTTTGGCTGGTTGGAAGTTGCTGATCTAAAAGAGATTGCTCAGGTGTTTTAGGGGGTTCTAAAGTGTTGACACCCACGGCATCTTTGTAGATGATCACTGCTAGCATGTGCCCTGCACGTCCCCACCTTAGGATCATGCCGTCGTGGGCATCCCAAAAATCGACGGGCGATTTGTTCGAAGCCCGAGATCTCCAGTCGTTTTGGTCCCAAGTAAGACTCGACGCCCATGTCTCCATGTGGATCAATTCGCATCCGAAGGACGAAGCACGCGCCTCAGCTGCATCCGCAGCCACCGCAGCCATCAGCGAATTGGCATTCTCCAGTGCCATCTACGCGCAATGACGGGCCCTTGGCCCATGGTGGTTTCCCATGGTGGTTTTGGGGCCAGACTTTTTAAACAAAGCTTGGATGAACATTTTGGGACTTGTATAGGAGTCTCTAATCTAGGAGTTGTGTTTCATTTTTCTGTTCCTTTCTTCTCGGAAGGGTGATGGGTAGTCGTTGGAGCCGAGTCGGGCTTTCCACCACTTGCTTGCCAAGTCCTCAGAGGACTTGGACCCTGGGTATGAGGTTCCTATGTGCTGTCTGATCTAGGTGTGTTGTCAAAAGGTCCTGGCACATTCTTTTGCAATCACACATATATATATATATATATGCATATGCCTTTTTCAGTATATATCAGTGTGTGAGATTCTGATTTGAGCCACAGGGATGTCGTAGTATACCTGCTGGACAAGTGCCCTTCCGGCTTGGGCCTATGTTTACTCACACGTCCTTTGGGGGTCCGGGGGTACGTCTTTTTTGAGTGACAGTTATAGTCTCAGTACAGCCAAATAGCCAGCTATATATATATATGTGTTCACTATCGCTTGTTGGTTCAAGATCACCAAACAAGTTGAATTTCCAATCATCAAACTTCTAGTCAAAAGAGTATCTTAGACGACATAACCCAGTTGTTTGGATTCACAAATCATCGAACAACTGCTCAGCCTCGATCCTTCACAAGAATATGTACTGCGCCGCGTAGTGCACTTTTCACCAAGATCTTCCTCTTGGCGTACGACTTTCCTTCCAGCGAAAGTATACAAAGGTGGATGGGTACAAGAGAAGGAAGGCCTGGGGACGCATATGCATCACAGCAACAAAGTAAAATCAATATACATTATTTGATGATCTATTGGAACGCTATCTTGTTAGGATGCGAAGATAACCAGAAGGACCACACTTAGGTGGCGTTCACCCACCCATTCTAAGACACCCCCAAGTCCCAAAGACTTGGCAAAGCTGAGTTCACTCACCCACCCATATTCGCTGGGTTGATTCCGCAGATTCGAATTCTCGGGCGATTTAAACGCTTAAAATTTGGCGAATAATATGTTCGGCCCAAGTCAGCCGGCCACGATTTGGGTCAAGCCAAGGTGAACTGAAGTCACGACTGTAATCAGTATCATCTGCCTAGATCGGTCCCCAAAGCACAGAAAATTGCACTTGTCCCAGACTTCACATCCTCCACGATCAATCTCTCGCGGGCTCTCATCTCCATGTCCATTGGGGCGCTATCGTTCTCATCTTCGATGTTGGGTGACTCAAGTCAGTGGCCAATTCAGTTGGAAGACCAATCACATCGGAGCTCTGTTGGGTTCGCTGCCCAGGACTGCCTGGACCCATGCGTTTTCAGAAGAGGGAACGTTGACCATCACATAGGCAAAGGTCCGTAGTACTAGCGGTTGTGAACCACGAGAAGTTTTGAACATTCTGCCAAACAACATCAACAACATCACTGTAACCCTCATCTTCTTTCTACCTCCATGAACTTTTCTCTCAGGGGATGTGACAAAACAAAACATTAAACAAAACCATACAAATCAACTGCCAGCCTCCTATTCGCTGTGTTGATTACCGATCGACTAGATACTGCAACCCTTTTACAACTCTCAATGTTGTCCAAACAGAGTGAACTCGAACAGCTGCGACAAGGGCGGCCTTGAGTGATGCTGTATGAGTTTTGCTGTGTTGCACAAAGGAGAAGCAATTACCACTTGCTTCTGTTCTGGCAATTGCACGACGAGCCCAACAGAATCCGGCTTTTGTACATGAAGGCAAATCCATATCGGCTTTGGAGAAGACGGCAGTCTGGTCAGTCAGGTTGGTCTGGTCAGACCGGCCAGTCTGATTGAATCAAGCAAGTTCAATTGACAGTATCCTATGGTCATTCTCTACTGGATAAAAAGGGAACATGGCCCGAAAATAGAAGGACTGCTGCAAATTATCCTCATTCAATCTACTTGAGCCTATCATAGCCTATCCATTCATATGGATGCTTGACTTGGAGAAGCATGCAATAACTAAACTAGTGCTGTTTGCTTCAAGGGAGAACCTGATCTGTGCCAAATATCCTGTGATTCAATTGGATGTGTCACGAGAACCATTGCACTCCGTTCATTTGGGAGGGTCGCGTTCTTTTCCTAAAGCCAACCATGGAAAATGCCAAGAAACCTGCGAATTCACGCGATGAAAATGGTGCTATGCTGAACGCCGGATTCAGATAATTTCTACACCCTAGACTCAAAATATCTGGAGATTTCAATGAATCTCCAAGTGCTGCAGCGACCTTCTCTCCGAGACGACATAGATCGATATGCAAATGACATTCCATGCTACACCTATCCCCAAGCAATACAGGACATCAAACAGCTTCCAACATAATGCTCTTGTGAACGCGACTCAATCATCAATGGAAGATTAAATGCGAAAGACCGAAAAACCTCTTTGAACATGTCTCGCAACATCTAGGGTGATTGCAATCACCCACAGTAGAATCAGTAGACCCCTGAGACAAAACTGGCATTAACTTGTTTTTTGGGGTCCTTCCAATCCGATAGAGACCCATCTCGTCTGACACTTGACTGCTTCAAGTGGTTGTCTTGAAAGACATGTGAATCGGTCGAGAACATCACTGCAGGGGCGGAGTGGAGCGGAGGCCTGGAGCCCTGCAACAACGGCAGGAGAATAGCTGAACATGGAAGAAACATCTGTTGGAGGCGGTTTCAGTGACTGGAAACTTGAAGCAGTATGCTTAATGTATTACAGTATATAATTGTATCGCTACATGGAGATGGCATGATTGGAAAGCTCTTCTCCAAACTGTTGCTTGCACTTATTTTAGGTCAGTCATCCAAAAACTGTTGGATTGATGCCCCATCAGCCCACAAAGAGTGTTATCTCGATACAAGTTGAGCATGTTTGAGCCGAACCTAGATTTAGATCCTGCCATTTTTAGGGGGCTACTTCTTGACATGCGCAAAATATACGGGAAGAAACCACTGTATAAACGACTCCTGAAGCGCCTGCCCCTTTAAGATTTTCTCTTTGCGGACCAACCAAAATTGAAACAAAGGAGCTCATTCTTTGACCGCTCAGCCATTATTAGAAGTTTGCATCATTGGAAAATCCAGGAATCCCAGGTCTAGATCCAGAAAAGCCCAGCTGTTCTTCCTACACCTCGTGGTGTCCAAATCCATGGACTGGCACTCCTCACCGTGGCCCACGACCAGCTACACGCTCCCCTCGTGGCGCCAAGCGTTTCAGCGATTTCACGAATGACTTCTCACTCTCGCTGGCCGTCTCCTCACTCTCTGTGTCGGGCGCCTGCGGAGCCACTCGGGCTGGAGAGCGGAGAGCAAAGACCTGGGAAAGCGGGCTTTTCGACTAAGTCGATGATCGAAGCACCAAGTCTGGTCACTCTTCTTTCGACTTGGGGATGGCTACTAAATGCCAATCCACTTGTAACTTGCCGTACATTGTGCTGTTAAAGAAGACATAGAAACCAATGATCTTGCACTCTTTAGGGTTGGTGTGACATCCATATCATAAGAATCCAACCCAATGTGTACAACTGGTAAGAACAGGGGTCCTCCAGGACCCCCCACCTCCTGAGGATCAACAACTCAATCGTCTTACTTGCAGCCCACCTTTAAGGACATGCTGGAAACCATATTCTTCATACAATCTGAAACATGCCCAGTTCTTAGATGTGCTCAAAAAATCTCACTTCCATCCTCTCCCAGCCAGGCTTAGCGATCGATTCCAATGGGACCTCAAAGTGCGACCCTTCTTCAGCTAGGGCCAACGTCCTGACGATAGAACTCTTGCATTGAATCAACAAAGCGCTACAATTGACAAGGTTGGGTACTCTGCCTCTATCCTATATAGGAATACATGATATTTCTGGTGCTGCACGCAGCTTCTTTCACTCTGAGGTGCCCCCCAAAGTGGGATCCGCTTTTATGCGATTGGGGCAGCTCCTGCGCGTTTTTCCAGGGGGTCCAACTGGGAGGTCTCCTTAATACACACCCACAAGGAAATGGATGGCATGGACTCCCGAAGGGAAGATGGGTTTTCCTCTAAACAGAGGGAACCTTCCATGGAAAACCTCCACTTCCATCTTAGTGAGTCGGAGTCGACCTGAAGTCCCAAGGTCCAAAAGCCCCCCCATCCAAACGAGGACCCAGATCTGTCCGCCTCCCCCAGCTTCTCTCTCCGGCGGGGGCCTCAAAGGAGACATGGACTAAGCCGTGGCATCTCCCCCCAGCAAAAGAAAGGGAACAAACATGAAACATGCCGAAACTGATAGGGTTTTTGGAAGTTTATATGGGAATTGTCGATTTCGGAGACCAACTCATGGTGTATGTGTCCATCTGGTGAGCAACATTCACACAAGAAAAGCTAGAACCATTCTATATTCCGATCATGTGATCCCCTGCTGGCAGCAAAAATAAGCCCATGCATGATATGTCACGGATGTCATTGTGAGTAATCATCCCTCCCAGGTTAGAGATTTAACAGAAAACTGTTTGACAGTACCGTATTGCTTTGATTTTATGTAAGGCAACCAAAGTGAAACAAAAACATACATCAAGGCTAGTCTCTACCAAATGGCGGCGCATCAGGGCAATCATTCCTGAACTAAGAGAGGTAACAAGGCTTGTGGTAGAACAACTGTGTGTCTTCCCGATAATCTGTTCCTGACCATTTCAGTTGTCCTGGAAAATAAGGGTGAACCTCTTTCCACCTGTTGGATTTTTGGTGGTGAAAACATCACGGGACAACCAACCCCCAAAAAGGCATTAAAAAGGTTATCAAGTTATCAACGTTTCCTCAGTAGGGCTCTAACAGTTACTTCTGAGAGGGCCAGTGAGTCGGGAAGGGATCCTCAACCTCCCTTTCCAACCGCCCCGGCAGGGACATCTCTTCTGATCTCTGCCCAGCTGTGTCATCTTGATCAGATCTGCAAACATTCCGGAAATTGCCTGAAAAATGAACAAAAGAGTCACAAACTGATCACCATGGTTTCGGCCCTGTAGTTTTGACCCAAGCTCTGCTCCGTTTCCTTGCGCTCAGGATAGGCCGAGATCATAATGCCTGGACAAACACGAACACAAAACTTTCAAGTTGCCTTGCTTCGAAGTGAGTAGGAATGGAATACTTCGAAGCAAAATACCATTCCAGTTTTGTACGTACTTTCAAGTTTTTTAGTGGACAAATCAATGGTATTCCAGGAATGTTGCAGGAACCTAATGGGCACCGTCATGATCGGCCCCTGCCCATCCTGCCCTTGTACAGGCTAAAGGAACCCGGAGGGCCGACCCACTCATGTAGACATGGGTCCAATCCTCATGTAGACATGAGGCCGAAATCCAGCGGTGGGTCAAACCCTGGGAACCTGGGTTGACCACCTTGGTTGAGCATCTTAGAACCACAAGGGACATCCTTTTTGCAGGTCCAGGTTTGGACCCAAACCCGATCTTTCACGTCAACGTCGTCCATTCAACCTTCATCGGATCCGAACACCTTTTCGGCTGAAGCAGCAGCTACTCTTGGGCTTTTCATGGTGTTCCACTTCTGTCCAAGCAACACCTGCAGTGACACGGAGGTTTTGGGGGGGCCAGCAGCGGGTGCCGGACCTTCACAACCGGACCACTGGGAGGAGGTCGGCTTGGGAGGTGACGAACTCCGTGCCGCCAAATAGATGGACTGGTGGAACCGGACTGGAGTTCACCCAGTCATACGTGGACGACTTGCACGGCCTCCCCCCACGACCCGAGCCCTGTCTCCAACAATTTAGCGTGTCAGTCAGTGGGTGTGGACACGTGTGGACCTGATAAGCCACACACACACACACATTGTTCTCAAAAAAGTGTCAACCAGTGAATCTCCATGGCTCAAACTTAGGATACCATCCAGATCTGCTTGTAGGACCTAAACTTAAACCTCTGGGTCCCTAGATGTCTCTAGGTTTAGATCTCTGGGTCTCACTCAGGGGCTCGCGAGGGCGGAACCCTTCTTCCGGTCCCGGGCACGTCGCTGATGAACACGTCCGTCGGTCGACAAGGAAGGTTTTGCTTTAGACATTCGAGGCCAAAACGGAAGAGGAGTCTTAATCTCACTAGGAAGGAGTCTTATTCTCACGAACTGAATTGAGCGATTCTAGGCAAATTCTAGGAACCATCTTTCTGGATCATGTATTTCATGCCGCACCATCCAATGGGCACGCATAAGGGAGGACTCGGGGTGATCTCTCTATCAAACAATTTATCTGCGCCCGAGCCAACTATATGTGGAGCTCAAACTTGGGGAGCCAACAGGCCTCTAGATCCATGATATCCCTGGTAGTGGGAAGAACGAGGAAACCCCTGTCAGTTGTCTCCCTTCTTGTAATTGCTGCACCCACTCACACCTTCAATCCCCCAACGCAAAGACGAAAAGAGCACCAAATCGGGGCCCCCCTGTTTCGGGCGGTTCATGGACACCCCCTAATCTCTAAGGGGCCATAATTATTGGACACTTCTTAGGGGTCTTTCACCTCCAACTTCCAGGAATGGCATCCTTGACTGATCCAAAATCATCGCTGCAGAAAAAAACAGAAAACACATTAATCTCCCAGAGAATCCACATGTTATACAAGCCAAATGCTTCTACTAACGCACATCTTTGTTAATTAAACACATGGTTTTGTTTTCAACTATAAGCACATCAATGCTAGCACCTCACTCCCCAAAAAGCTTTCGCATTCAACGCGAGATGACAATGCTCGCTCGCTTTCACCGAAGCGGCGAAGCTGTTGTTGGAAGGTGCTCAGCGCCTGGCGACATCGTTTTTCTTTTTTTTCCTCAGTGGTAACCCACAGATCATCCATTACCAGTTACTGGTATCTTATACCAGTGGATGATTGGGTTGGGCTGGTTTATCATCCTTTTTCCAGGGCCCAGTGGATGATGATGGGGCCTGGTTGCAGGCCGAGATGGGTATATCCTATTATATATAGTGGATGAAGATGGATGTATGATTGGCAGGTCGAGATATCTAAAACAAACGGCTCTACAGGTATGACCGACAGCTCTGCAGGTATGACTGACGGCTCTCGGTCTGGGGTTTATACTTGTTGACACTCTGACTGATGGAAACTGCGGTGCAAGTGGATGAAAAACGACTGGATGATGACCATGAAATCCGATCAAACAGGTGGTGGTTTTCCACTTCCGTGATTTGTTCAGGGAGTGCATGTTGACTGGTGATGAAGAAACCCATCAAACTTGGAGGGTCAACAAATGTGACAGATCTCAAACTTGGGGGGGTCCTTCATCAACAGGACGGTCGGTGACTCGGCGATGGAATCTTTTGCCCACCCCAGCAGGTCGTTTTCGCATGTTGTTGACAGTATTTTACAGTGACGTATTTGGCCCCTGTGGTGTATTCTAGCGTCACAAAGAAACTGTCCCGAGCCTGCCCCCTGGTTGCCTCCTCAAGGAGATACGAAACATCTTCTTATTGTAAACAAGAGCCTTAAAGGTGTTCTGACGGCCGTATCTTCGACCTGTGGCCGCCCTCGCGGGTAGCGGCTCGCTATGCCATGCTACGCCTTTTGTTGCAGGAAAGCAGTCAAGACAAATACCGCAGCACCTACATTAAACAAACGTGCCGACAACTCCTTCTTTTGAGCATGCCATAGGACAGAACACACCCATCTAATCCCATCTACGGCTTTTGGAGACAAGTCTCCTGTGAAGTTCTTCATGTGAGGAAAGGTGTAGGGAAGATCAATTCTATGAAAACAGGAGGAGAACACGGCATCCATGCAGCAATCCTGGCAATCTTAGAATGTGGAGCTACTTGGTTGGGAAGCTTGAAGGCTCCCCATATATCACATCCGACTGCAGTTGCTCTTAGAATGACAAGGGCTTCCGAGTCTTCCGAGCTCAGGTATACTGGCGCACTGAGTTGGAAAGTGTCTCTACCCGGTGGAACAGACAGACTCCCTCAGTTTGGCTGGAACATAGAGGTTAACCCTGTTTTCCAGCTGTTGGATTTTGCGTGGGGAAAACCAACACCCCGAAAAAAAAGGCTTGCCCATCTGTCCTGGGTAGGCAGAGCCAAAGGACTGGCATCTCTTTCTTCGTTCGACCAAGGGAAGGACTTGTGATTGGGCGGCCCAACCCGCGTGTGATCTGACATACCTCCAATTGCACATATCCCTCCCCCAATCTTGTAAAGCACGATCGCCTTTAATGAGGACCTTATAATTTCTGCCCGAACAGACGAGAGCACCCAGCACAAAGTCCTGAGATAGGAGGATCATCTGATAATGCTTAGTTAAAAACCACTTGTAAATGTTGCCGTTTCAAAAAAAATCCGAGCCGTCCTGGCAAAAGGTCAAAGCATATCCCTGTACTTGGCCCCTCAGGCACAGCAAGATACAGTGCTAGCGTCTGAAAGTTTCATCCAGCCCAGCCAGGTACAGTATATTCTTGACGGATGTTCTTTTCTACTTCTAAAGCTCTGCAGCGTCGACATTGTATACATAAAAGAAACAGGAATTCAAGCCTTGCACCGGTGGCTAATAAGCAAAAAATAGAACAACTCCCAGACCCCTTCAATCAGGGAACCTCCCAGACCGCGTCAAAACCGAGCAATTGCCTGCAGCAGCTGCTGAGAGGCTTCGTGCAGCTCCGCGTCCACGGTCGTGCCACCGAGCCTGAAGAACCGCAGCAGCGCGCGGCAGTCGGCCTGACCGCGGTGTCGGGCGTCGATGGGCATCCGTAGGGGGGGAAAGGCTTGACTGCTGGGAGCCTAAACCGAAAGCTACAGAACTCTGGGCGGTGCGCGGTGCACGGTGCAAAAAGGGATGGGAAGGTTGTTTGATTTACTAGTGACTAGTCGACATGTGATGTGAGTTGCTTCATGCGGGATCATCACCGGGTCGACATGTGATGTGAGTTGCTTCATGCGGGATCATCACCGGGCTTTGGCGCCCCAAGTGGCCGTTGAAGTTCGCGGGTCACGCTGGCGAACGAACGTTTGGCAAACCGGTTGAACCCAGCATCGACGGCGCTCATGGGATCCTGGACCTTGCAAACGTTCAGCGTGATATCCGACGTTCTTTCAGGTTCTTTTGCCATCTTCGATGCCTTCTTTCCCTCTTCTTCACCGTTTCCATCGCCATCTTCAAACAACCTCTCCGGGCCTCAGTGGCGGCCAGTGTCTTCGTCCACTGCACGACCACACGGTCCATCTCCACCTCGCCGGGCACAGCGAAATCGCTTTCGGCGGAGCATGGCTTTCAGCCACAGAGATGGAGTTGTCTAATGGAACAGAAGGGCACATGATGATACACGTCGTTTCATGATATTTGCAAATATCACTGATATCATCTGATGTCATTCAGGTCTGCAAAAAGAAGCAGCAGGATCATGTTTGTTTGTGTTGGTTCACACTTCAACGCAGAAAGTAAACACAACAACTGCCAACAAGGAGATTGCTGACCGTGAAATCGACTGTCCCCTGTCTATCAACGACCTGAAAAACAACCCCAACTGCAGTTCGTCTGGAGCCACCACATAGAAGAATATATGGAAGGTAGCAAATTCCTGAAAGCAATTGACATTCTACAGGAGGTACAAACCGTACAGAACAAGACTTGTCAACAAGTTTGTGATCCCGTGGCGGTCAACGTCTGAGAAAGAACAAACCACAACCACCAACACCATCAACACCAGGACGTGCAAAAACAAACAAATCCATGGTGCTTCAGTGCTGACATGCGCTGACATGCGCTGACGGTTTCGAGCGCAAGGCATAGCTTGGCTGCTTGGACATCCACATGAAATACGTGAAACAACCTATATCTCCAATTCCCAAACCATCCATGAGACTGACATATATACCGATCATCTGGGGTTGATCTGAGGTCAATGTAGGTCTTATTCCAGTCCCATTCGTCTGGTCTGGGATTGGCACCGGTGACATCCTTCCAGTTGTGGGATCTCTTCTCTGCGGCCACGCCCGGTAATTACGCCGTTGTTCCAAAAAAGGTCGCGAGTCGCGCCTCCAAGCGCTCCAACTGAGACAAGGCGTCCGGGACCTTCTCTTCCTTCTTGGTCAAGCCACGAAAGAAGCCTTGTCCGGTCCGACGATGTCCCGTCACTTTCCGAGACGAGACGTGGTGATTTCGATCACACGACGGCTCGAGATCGCCGGGCGCAGGGCTGCTGCCCAGTTGGGTGGGGATTTGGGGGTCATCTCGAAAGCTCCATGGAGTGAGGGAGCATGGAGTGGTGGGGTTGTTGCAAGACAGAAGGAATCAGAAGGATGTAGGATGGACGAGAGGACCTAGTAGGATGGAGATGGAGGAATGGAGAGATGGATGGCCTGGATGGCTGAGACCAAGAGATGGAGGGAGCAGCATTCTCCGGTGGTTCCAGCCACTTTGGGGTGAAATCCAGAAGTTTTCCCACCAACACTTTTGGGATCTTTCTGGCATCAGTTCAGAAAACTGTCCAAAGGAGGATTGGCCCGAGGTGGATCCAAATTCTATTGGATTCCGATAGGTGAAAGATGGTGAAAGTAAGGACCTACAATCGAGGCTTTAAACTTTAGATCTTCAAGTAGAACTTATGTCATAATTTGCATCATCAAGGTCATTATAGCTCATTTGGCATGGTCATGCTCCCACCCAACACTTGTTGATCGTTATGAACATAACTCATAACGTTATAGTTTCCTTCCTAAAAAACAAAACACACACACACACGACCTCGCCCCAAGGTTCCGCGGTCCACGTCCCCGCTGAGGGAGGCCTCCAAGCCCGCAAAGGCTAGGAGCGAGGCTTGGCGCCTGGCGGTGCGGAGCAACTGCGGAGCCGGTGGAGCGACGAGGCGACGAGGAACCCTCGTCATCTGGGTGTTCGACATCATCCACTCGTCTTGTCGGTGTGCCAAAAAAGAAACTCATGTATGCATATATCGCATATATATAATATATATATACACACCTCTCATTCATGAACCATCTGGATGCCGAAGCGGAAAGACAATCAACTCATCGACCTCCACCGGGTCCGACCTCGGGGATTCCTCTTCTCTCGGATCCAGTCCGAGTCCGACCCGGCCACACACCGGCCCACGCGGACCACGTGGACCACGTGAGGTGTCTACCGTCCTTGCGACAGGTGTGCGCAAGCAAAGAAGGTAGCAACGACCGTGCCAATGGCATATTGTGACAAATGGAACAACTTGTAACGCCCGGAAGTACCAAAACCCCCCTGGGTAGTTGACCCATGTGCCCGATTTCGAGCGCTCGAAACCAAGCGCAAACCATCTTCGATCTCATCTTCGACGGCCTTCTCCACGGGGCACTCGGGTGATCTCACAGCATGCTTTTCTGCACAGCCTTGCGACGGAGATGGGAGAAGGTCCATGAACACCTGTCAGGAAGCTGCTGCGGCCTATGGCCTGTAAACATTGATACATGTTGCATAAATAACACATGTGCAAATTGGATGTCAAGTGTTCTTTTGAAGTCACTGAGCTTGCCTGATTGAGGTTTTTGAGGGGGGCTTGTGAACAAGATATGGCCTATAGGAGAAGCCGAGGTCTCCTCTGCAAGCCCTGGGGCCCTGGGGTCCGAAATTGAAAGGACATAGTGAATTTGCATCCTGATGTGATGGGATAACCGCATCATTGCAAGGCATCCTCCATGTTGTTAGAAACAAAACAGTTATCAGCATAGCTGAACGATGCTGAATGGCTGGATTTGGGTTGTCATCATTGCAAAAGAAAAGAAGGATCCCGTCGTGAGCATAGCGACTACACTGAGGCTATCTCCTTCAGGCAAACCGGTTAAGGCTGGGGTTTCAGTACACGCTGTGAAATTTATATGTAGCAAATGTGGAGCGACATTGTGCTGGTAAGACACAAACTTTTCTTGATGTGCACAAGGTGGTCCGCATCATCCCAACATACTGACACTCGCAAATCCAAGAGAAACGGAATGACCTTCCTAGAAATCGCTGCCGTCATTCCAAGAGCACCCGATCGAACTCAGAGAAACACTTATCCGAGCAGGCACATCCAATCTGAGCCTGTACCACTTTCCGCTGCAGAAGGTCATCAATATTTGGAGCAACAGGCAAACCCGCAACACGGCATCAACTGTTTGGTCAAGCGTCACAGCGCTTCACATCAAAGTCGTCTGTGGCGTCCCGAAGCGTTTTGGATTGATCTGGCTTTCCAAGGCGACCATCCGCTGTATGTCCCGAAAGCAAAAGCCATACCAGCACCCTCCTGGCCAGGTGTTTCCTGGTGCCCGATGCCCAGGTTCACCAGCTGGGAAGGAGTCTCCGAACAGCCAAACCTTGGAGCGTCCTGGTGGTTTCATGATCTCACCTTCCACTGGTCACCATCCAATCTTGGAGCGGAGAGGCCGAGAATCTCTGGCAAGATCATTGGGAATCTGCGTTGGCAGTCGCAAACCCGCGAAGGTTAATCAAGATCCTTAGTTCTTCCATCAACATGTTCAACGCAAGATACAAAACATGGATCATTGAGTTTTCGGCAGTTAGACGGGTCCAAACCACCATGAATTGATCCATTTCGCAACCACCAAGAACACTGACAGAGCCACCCACAACCTAGTGCTTGCTCGAGTGTAGAACTTTTTGGACATGCAATCCTGCGCCGTGAAGAGACAGTTTCGTTATAGCCAAACAATCCTCATAATGACTTTCCAGATCTGCATGGGCATGATTGACAACATATGGTTCGGGTCCAGATCATCTAGAGCTTCTTCAACTTCGATTCTCGCTGTCCGGCATTCCTTCATCGCATTTGGTTTGGTGGCCCGTAACATACCAAAGGCAGTTTCCAAAGCCCCTTCTGGCGCCCTGCATTCGTCCACCAATTTTCAAGGGATCTGATCGACTCTTTTCTCCAGATGTCTCGCTGCAGCTTCCGGCGAAGCATCAGGTGATTCGAAACGCTACTAGGAGCGATCGGACGCTACTAGGGGCTCCTGGCCGTACTACTAGTAACAAGAAGCTATTAGAAACAAGAATGCAATAGAATTAGAGCTAAAATTTAATTAGAATAATTTAAACAAGAAGCATCAGGTGATTCGAACCCACGCAACCTTGCAGGCTCCAACTGGGAAAGAGTAGAAGTGGTTGCTCTCGGTAGGGACACCATTGCAGCGAGCGTTGATCCTTCTGGGAAAGAAGCGAAGCAACAAAATATAGTTACTTACATAAATTGGGGGGGTCGGTTTGAAGGGTTGTTTATATACCCAGAACCTGATCGACCCCTGTTTTGGAGCGAACACATTAATGTTTTCTTATCAACACAAAGGTCAAGCCTGGGTTCTAGGTATACTATGTATACCTCCTGAGGGTCGTTTCCAAGCAGTTCCAAGGAATATTCACCTTCGCTCCCCGTTCGGGTTGTGCATGGCGCCTGCATGGCTTGCCAGGGTCCAAAACGCTGCTCCGAGCGCAACGCAGTAGATTTGGCCATGGGACCACTGTCTCAAACTGTGAACCTCAATAGATCTTTGATCTGCTTTCACTTCATCGTTGTGGTCTGACCATGTCTGACCACCAACCCTTAAATAAAAAAAACACACACACAGAACACTGCCTGCGTTCGCAGAGCTGCACGTGGCCTGGGCACAGCGAGACTCATGGTTAAGGGACGAAGACATCGGTTGGCCGACGTGGTCGGGTCACTTCCCAGCGTGCCAAAGGTCGTCTGTCTGCTCTTCAGGAATCAAAGTGATCCAACATACCAGCATGGTGAGTGTCATTGTCGGCAGATTTGATCCGTGCTGAGGACCATCTTGGGGAATGGACCTCGGATTTCATTGCTTGGAATTGAGGTCTTCTAGCCCGCAGTTTGTTTCTTCAATCCACATCTATACTTTCTCCCTTCAGTGATAGACATGTCTCAAAATGACTTACTCCTGGCCCACGAACAGCAACGGACACATTTCCAGATCCCCACTACATATATGATTAGATATGCTGCTTTGTCAATGTGATTATATACCTGTTTAAACCACTCCATCCTTTGCCAAACTGACGAATTCCCGATAACCTGACCTTAGTGATCCAGGTCTAATAACATGTCTTGCAAAGATTTCTTACAGATTTGATCAGCTTTCAATAGATATCATATACCCTCACATACCCCACAAACTCCTCAATGAACTGATGCCGGAAATCTCAGGTGCCATATGGTGCCATCAGCTCATCTCTGCATTCCGCCGTCCGGACCTCCTCACCCCCCCACCGGACCTCCTCACTGGCGACCTCTTCACGCCGCGAGCGACTCGTGGAGCCTCCTGGCGATATCTCGCCAAGCAAACATGACCAGGATGACGAAACGCTGATCTTCTTGGTCCTTGAGGCCGATCACCTGAAACAACAAAGTATTGAACAAAAACAAAGCTTTTCAATGGTGCAGTCTACCACCCGGTTTGTTTTTGTCCACAACTTGCGGTGGACGCCCACTCCGGTGCTCTCTCCCTTTTGAGAGGTTGGGCATGGGTGACCAGGGCCAAAACACCAAAGACCCCATGGGACTGGACCTATAATTTGATATCATATGATATCATATTATGCCTGCATCGACCCCGGGGTCAACCACACGCAATGTAGGCCTTTCTTTGTATATATTTCAATACATGGATTGTCTGGGATATGGAGCCAAGAGAGGTTGAGAGACCCTGCAGCGGTGGATTTGGGGTACTGTAGGCTAATAATATGGCTGTTCAACCTCTCTAGAAGTGTCTGGGGTTGAGCATCGAAAAGAAGAGACGCCCTGAATACAAATGAATGGCCCTTGATTCCCTGGATGGCATGCTCTTTCACTGCATGGCTTTTGAAGAGGACCGTCCTCTGCTGGTGTGATCCGGCAGTTTCTATGTTGCATTTTGGGAGGGCAAACATGGGTAAACCCAAACACCCCCCTGGTCTTGTTGTGAATGTGTTAGTGTTCATGTTGCTCTATTGCTGGAGATTTAACATCATCATGTTAGAGGCGGTCAAACCTGTAAAATAAACTGAAGTATGGGGTGCGTTCCTAATCACGGGATCTATGCAAAACATGATTTTCTAGAGTTGGATAAATTCGTACAATGAAAAGGAAATCGATTGCCGTCTGACATTGTTTTTAATAGCACAACTTGCCACTGCCAATGTGGAGGTAGATTGATCATGTCACACTCCTTTCAACTTTCCATACGGAAACAAGACTTTTGCAATGACTTTGACTCCTGTTAGAGATGGGAGATCTGTCTCCACTGAAACAAACGTGATCAAACAAAACAACGTGTCCACAGTTGCATATAAGTCCTTTCTATAGCGAGCGCACACATCCAGTAGACAGAGCCGAAAACGCACCGAGCCAGTCAAAATTGTCAAAATCTGCTAAGAACATAATGCAAAAGGTGCAAGAAATCCAAATCATAATCAGCCACACGCTGCCAAACAACTGCCTCACAAAAGAAACATCCATGCACAATGCACATCCTCACTCTGAGACACGATTGTTGGAACTAGAAGCTGACAATCTCATCACAAACAAAAAACGCCATCGCTCCTCCCACCGAAAGCTTCAAACACTCCGGCGCTTGTGCATGGTCGCCCGGTGCTGCATCTACGCTGAAGGAGAGATGAGGTTGGCCAGTGGTGCTTGGAGACCTCAAGAAAAACAAACTGGCGCGAGGATGGCACGATGGATTCGAAGCCATGGATCAACCCGCTTGCCCAAACAGTTCATCCATGGAATAGTTACTGTATGATGCTGTACATGCATACATTTACCCCAATTGATGACCCTAGTGTAGGTGGCTATTTCATGGATGGCTTGGCTTCTGAAAGCTTTGGACTGCTGGGTTGGGTTGTCCAATGGAAGTATGTGGTGCAGTCGTGACCCCCAAAACGATCGAAAACGGAAGGTCTTGGTACACTTCGAGAACCATTTCAAACCTTTATATTGTATATATATATATATATATGCCTAAAACCTCCTGCTTGTTACTTTTTCTGCCGCTGCTTTTTGGGACTAGCAAAACTGCCGCTAATATCCTTGTTCTCCATCAAACAACAGAAACTGCCGCTGGATTTTTTCAGCATTCAGGTTGCACGGTCTTGAAAGGATTCCCAAGACCTCTCATGTTAAAAGCCCCTACTCTTCCTGAAACGACGGATCATGCATTTGCACTTCACACTCCAGGCCAAAATGATACTTCTCTCCAGGTTTCTATAGCTGATTCTTCTGGAGGACCTTGCAATTCGACCTATATAGTCCTCACTCATGCTGCAGTCGAAACTTCCTGGGTTTAACGCCACCCTGCCAGATTCAACAGCATGGTGCAAATCCAACCTGATGTGCATCAGGGCGTGTAGCTTAGGGATCATCGCGAAGAGGTTGTATTGCTTGCCCCAACAGTAGTGTGCTAGTAGACAATATGCGTTGCCAAAGCTTTGGATGGCATCCCTCAAAAACTTGGCGCAACCCAACGGTAGCCACAAAGAATGGCCGTGAATCCCCTGACTAAAGGCTAACCCAGAGGTGCAGCCCTCTTCAATCCACCGAAACACCTGTTGGTCTACACGCGACCAATGTGGCTGGTGCATCTCCATTCTCACAAAAAATCGCAACCATTTGGTCAAGACAATGGTGTCAGATCCTTTGCATCCCAACCATGCGAAGGCTCCTTTGGCAGCATGCATGTTTGCAAGCGTGAATCCACGAATACCATTCACTCGCTGCTTTGTTGTCTCAAGGTAGAGGCGGACATTTCCCCAGGCACGCTCAAGACAAACATGCAAAGCATCACTTTCTCCTGGAATAGAGAAGCCTTGAGTGTCTGCAAAAATCTAAAAGGGACACAGTGGAAGGGGTTAGTACAAAGCAAAACAAAATATAATAAAATATGTTCGTGGTGGAGCAAGGGTCAGCCCATGTTGCATAGGAGGATAATTGCTGAACCTGCAAAATTTCTACCCACACCAAGCCTATAGATGTGAAAGGCGTCCTTCCGAAGGAACATAGCAGGTCGCGCTGCATCAAACTCAATCCGGCTCCAGGGTGGGGATACTGCCCAAGGCACAGTGCGGTGTAGCGTTTGAATCCATCTTGCAGACGGGTTCACATCTTCAAACGCCACTTGCGGCAAGCCAGCGTCGCACTCATGACATACAGCTCTTTCATTCACGTGTCCACAATTAAGGTACGACCGGGTCAGTGCCCCAGCTTTCTTCATCCACTCAAGATCCAGTTTGAAACCCAACACCACAGGATAGAACCTCCAAAGGTTGCTTTTTTTGTGTCCTGCCACCATCGCCGTGACAAAGAACTGGAAAACAATGTTTCCGTCGCTCTGCGCTGCAAGTGAAGATATGGTGACTTGGATGCTCTAACCGGTACGCATTCCAAAACTGAGATAAGACATCCGGTGCTTCACTTTCGTTGCAGCCACCAAGAAACAGCCAGGGTTCTTGCAACATGAGAGTCTTGAACACATCAGCTGGCTTCACAAAAGGGATGGAAGCAGTTGCAGCCCCCTCTACATGAGTATGCGTAGACATTGGAATCTTCAAAGACATGGAATGTCTCGAAACCAAGCGCCTGAACTGTCTTGTTGCATTCTTGGGATTCATCCCAGACGATCTGATGACGCTTTGGGCAAACGCATCTCCCTGCTCTTCTGCAAGAGCTTTCCTTTTTTCAGGAAGGATCTTCGCTGGAGCCTCGGGAAGTTGACAAAGCACAGATATCAACGCCCCTTGATTATGGTATTTGGGTAAACAAATCAAATTACAAACCTTATCTTCCGAATATCCCCGCCTATCCTTTTTGCAAGGAAATAGTATACAAAACCTATTTTCTAGTAGGCACCCCTCAACTAAACCAGGTGGCCCCATCAGCCACTGTTTCAATGACCTGTCGCAAGATGGGGCCAGGTTCATCAGCTGAAGATGCACCTGGCCGGAACAAACTAAACTAGTATTATGTTGCGCTGGTGCCTGAAAGGGCAAGTCCACAGTTGGTTGGAAGAGGCCGAGACCGCCTTTTTCCCATGTAGTGCCACAAGACTATTGCACCACTATTGAATTTGGTATGGAAATCCAGCGAATGAGCCGGCCCCTAAAAAGGCTCAGGCTTAAATTTGACCCACAGTGACTTTGCATGGGCGGGTTTCTAAGTCTAAGCAAACAAGAAAGACAACAGACAGCAAAATCGCAGAAAGCAACAGTTGATCCAAACACGACTCACGAGCGTTTAAAGTCAAATAGTTGAAATAATGACAACGCCATCATGCACGTCTTTCATTCCTCAGCTTTCACCTTTTTAGGTGCTTTAGGTGCTTTTACCTTGTTCTTTTGCTTCAAGAAGGCTAGATAAGGCCTCAGTCTGAAAACATCTGAAACCCATATCCAAAGTATCAGTAGCTGCACGCAACAAGTCACAAACTACAAGCAAGCATTCATCTTGCATTGTAGGAGTATGTCCAAAACATGCCATATAGTAGGTTTAGTAGTAGTAGGTTTGCAGTACTGCTGCTCACACCGACTGAGCAACAAAAATGAAAGCCAGAACTCTGGAACCAGTGGTGATTCCTTTGCCACGCTGCTGGGCACGACTGTGTAGGTTGAGCGCTTCACGGCACCTGCGCCACAAGCACACCCAAATCCCTTTGAAACATGGGGTCTGTGAACACAAAACAGCTATTGGTGAACCACTTGTGCAAAATTCAGTTTTGGGTGACGGAGTTAGACTACTTTTTGAGATGGCTTGGCTTCTCAAAAGAAACTCTCCCTGGATATTGAGAATAAAGTTGGTAGGAGGGTGACTTCTGAAAGGAGCAGGCAAAAGACCAGCTCTTACATTGGATATTGAGAATAAAGTTGGTAGGAGGGTGACTTCTGAAAGGAGCAGGCAAAAGATCAGCTCTTACATGCACTTGGTGTTCTAGGTGGTGGAATATAATGAACCATTTTCTTTGAAGGCAGCATTCAAGGATTTAAGTTCGGCCAAGGCACGCGTTCTTTGCTGTTTTGAACTGAGCTCGAAGTTGGTCCTGATGCCTAAGCCCCGCACATGCAATGTGTCGGTTTACACGGGTTCCTTTTCCGACATGACATGCTTACAAAGAAAAGAAGACTAGCTGCTGGTGCGAAAAGCCGTCAGCAAGTCCACTGGAATGAATCTCGGAAATCTCATCACAAGATTTCTCCAGCAATGTCGAAAAGCTCACCGCCTTTGCGATCAGCCTTGGCTTGCGCGAGGCCATAGGAGCTAGGGAGCCGGGGCTGAGTAAAAGGGCCTGTTCAACAGGTGCCTTTGTTGAACCTGTTTGAAGCTACTATACTTGCTAAAACAGCAATCAAAAAAGGTTAACCGGCTGGGTCACGGGTTCATGGCAGCATTCGACTTGTCCAGGGAAGTGGTAAGATCATTCATTTTGATGGACCACTTTGAGAGGCATGCCAACACCTTGGTCACAAAAGAACTTGGAAGGCCATCCGAATCCATTTCAGGGAAGGAGATTTGCTTCAGGGCTTTGGTCTCAGATTCCATACTCTGATGTTCAGCAGTGCGTCGATGATCATCTAGCAGGGGGCATCCGAGCATACCGGAACCACAGGGAAGAGAAACCAAGCACAGTATGCAAAAGAGAGGAACTCTTTAGAAGCTTTAGAAAAAACAGCTGACATGCAATGTGAAATGAGATTGATGCAAACAGACCTTCATCTTCCAAAGGTTCTTCAAATTCAAAGTTCTCAAATTCCATGTCACAGTTGAACTCATCCTCGTCCACGTCCGAGGATTCTTTTTCCAAGGTGTCACGCTTCCTCTTCCTTCACTGGGCAACCAGCAGAGTTGTGCAGAGTTTACTTATATAACCACACCTCACTGGAAAGAGTTGTGTACTCACAGCTGGTGAAATCAAGTTGAAGCAAGGAAATAAGCTTTTTCTTGTCTGTTATACAGCGCCACACCATGTTTGGACCAAGGGTCAGCATCCGGCCCTGCTCCTTCTTGAGTACCCAGTAGTTCCACACATTGCGCTCGTATAAGTCACGCCTTGGAGGCGTCAAGAAGCTGCATGGAGAAGAAGAAGTCATTCAAGCTGCATTGAGAGGCCGCCAAAACAAGGAGATACTTGGTGGAGGGGGATGGCAGGTACCGCCTCAACAAAAACTGCTCTACTTTGATGGCCATATTGAATTTACCTGACAACTCCTCGTTTAGCCTTTGAAGCCCCGAACATCCGAGTTTCTGTTTCCAGCCCTTGTTGCGCATAGCCTCAGCCTTGATCGCCTTGATCCGGTGCCTAGAGATGTTGCAGAGGCAGAGCATGATCAATGAATGGTTATGGGCAGCCCTTGTAGAAACAGTCACACATACTCTGACTCTATCATATGCCATGGCACTCCGGAAAACCTTCATGCTTCATGTCTTGCTCAGACATAAAGGAACCATCTCCCCACAGGTCCGTCTCACGAATGCGGGTCACAATTTTTTTCATCGCCTTCTTGACAAACAATTCCTGCACAACCCCGACTCCAAAAAGATGAATTCCTTTGATCAGACACATATGATTTATGAATGGGTTTGGTAGCAGTCCTTGTCTAGGCCAGCGGACTTGAAGTCCTCAACAATCATATCCTGATTCCCATCCTTCCACGCC